AAAGTACCTTGACCTAGTACAGGGGTAGGCAACCTTGGCTCTTTTATGACTGGTGGACTTCAACTCCCAGAATTCCTGAACCAGCCATGCTGAGGGGAAAGGGAGAGGTTTCCAAGCTGAGCCATGCTGACTCAGGAATTCTGGGAGTTGAAGTCCATAAGTCATAAAAGAGCCAAGGTTGCCTACCCCTGACCTAGTAAAAAGTGTGTGTGATCTGCTCACATAACCTGGGATATACATGGCAGCAAAGTGTCATGGGGTTGCCTTTTTACTAATGCTTTGTAAGAACGTTGTGTCACATGACACTCAGATACTTACTGATGCAGAATGTTTTAGGTGTTTGTCACTGTCGCTAGAGCTTTATAATTAAAAGGTTCTTGCTGTCTTCCTGACATGCTTACCTTTTTTTCATCTTCTGAGTACCAAAACTAATTCATTCTAAAATCTCATCTTTCCAATTTCCACATTTCCTAGAGTGCACTGGAAATCAAATTGTTGTTTTTTTTCTGTCTCCCAGCTGGAATTAAACTAGGTTTGCTTGTATAAGAATTTTGTTAAGAATAAAAAAAATAACTTCCATAAACTCACATTGCAATTTTATGCTAGGGAACTTCCAGTGATCAATCTATAGTCTTAAGTAACCATAGGATTTAATAGTAGTGGAACACTACTATCTAGAGCAGTGGTTCTCAACCTTTTTAATGCCGTGACCCCCAACCGGTCGTAAGTCGAGGACTACTCAACCGGTCGTAAGTCGAGGACTACTCAACTGGTCGTAAGTCGAGGACTACCCAACCAGTCGTAAGTCGAGGATTTTCCCTGTCCGGGAGTGCCGTGCATGCGTGGTGCCGCCCCCTGTGCCGGCCGAGTGTAGTTGGCAAGTGGCAGAGATGGAGCAGGCCGACCCCAGCTGGGCCACCAGCTGGCCCAGCCCAAGGGAGGTAAGGCACCTGCCGGGCCCCATGAGCGCCAGCAACCCTCCCTGCGCCCGCCGGCCTCCCACCTCTCACCCCTGGCCCTCTTTTACTTACATTTTTAGTAGTTGCTCAGCAGGGAGGGGTGGAAACTTCCAGACAGCTCGCCTTCGCTGCAGACAACTTGAAGCACCATTTGCAGAATGGGACTTTTGGCGGGCTCAGCAGGGCAGAGACAGCCTGGACAATTCCTATTGGCTTTCAAAAGCCAATAGAATAAAAGAGAGTAGCACAGCTAAGGAAAAGGGGGAAAAAATGGCGGACTGCGTTGTTTGGCGACCCCCGTGAAATAGTCGTTCGACCCCAAATGGGGTTGCGACCCACAGGTTGAGAATCGCTGATCTAGAGGTAGATTCAGTGATTCACTCTGCCCTCTCCCCCAGAGAGGCATTTCTTACTACAGCCTTTTCCAAGCTGATTTCCATGCCAGCTTGCAATTTTGGGAGTTGCAATGCGTGTTACTGAATAAATCCAAGTAAGACCCAGTTCAGATCTCCAGGTTTTGATGATTCTTTTTTTTCAATCAAAAATATTTTTATCTTTGTTATGGCAGCGTTGGAAAGGTTCAGCTTTGGTGCTGGCATGTTAGCATTTAGGCTCAATAAAAAATCATGGGTGTGCTATCCATTTTATACTTGAGCAAGTTACCTACTTTTCGGGCTTTTATAACTCCAGTTAAATCGGGATTACAACACCCAGGAAACCCAGGGCCATGTTGGCTGAGACTTCTGGAAGCTGTAATATCTGGGCAGTTGGAAAACATTAGTTTCAATGTTAAATGCTTCCAGTTTACACACAGTTTACATTTGCTTTACATCTACCTTCCTTTTACAATAAAATCCACAGTGTTTGCTCTACATAAATTATTTCATTTCTCTTGACTTCTGTTTCCTTATAACACATTGTGATTGCCAACCCTTCTTGTTGTTGTTGTTTTTTTTAAACAAAGATTTTCCTCTGGAAAAATAATGTAGGTGCCTTGGGATTTGAAGACTATTTTGGCCACCCTGTTTGATCACAGGAGGCGGGTGCTATTTTAAACCAGAAACTGGCTAATAGTAATCCAGGCTGCAGCCTGGATCTTTTATTTTTATCATCCACTAGGGACTATTCTTTGCCAGCGACAAGACTGTATTAATACAAACAGAAAATCTATCAACAGTTAGTACAACTTATGGGTTATTTCTCAATTAAACTTACCATAGAGTTAAATGTTGAATTTAACTCTTGTTCAAGAAAGTCTTTAAGTTGGAGGTTCTTTATAGGGTCACTTCTCTGCCAGTAGATCTTCACTATGGTATTTATGGTCAGAACAGCATTGAATGGCTGAATCTAGCTTCTTTTAATTTACTCGAATACTTTGGGTGACTTTGTCCAGCTTGGAATATTGTGACAAATGTATAAGAATATTTATCTCCAGCCACATGTTTCTTCATAGAACGCCAGATCAGAAAAATGTTACATTTTATGTGGGATGGAATATGGAAGAATGCTATTCCAAGGCTTTGCAGGATGCCAGTAATAATGTTATTATTAAATAAATAATAATACTGTAAAGTAAATAATAACTCTGCATCCTTGCAAGAATGCTTAGTTACTTGCAAGAATGCCGAGAAAACATGATGCCTCATTATAGTTTTTACTTTTCAGTCTTCCCATTTCTTGGTTAACCTTTGGAAGAAACTGGAAAATATATCCCCAATCACAAATTCTTGGCAAGGATTTTTCCTTTTTTTTTTTTTAACCTTATTACAGAATTAATTCCCGTGTTGTTTTCTTTGGGTAGTAACTTCATGGCATTTGCAGAATTCTTTGTCTTATTTTTTTCAGCACTCTGTCTAATGGAAATAAGCTCCATGACTTTCTTGAAAAAAGTCTTCTATTCAATCTCAGAAGTGGGTACGGAAGGAAGAGAAAGAACTATTTTAAGATAATAGAATGTGGATGTGCCTGAAAAGCCTATTTAGTAGCTGGCAATATGTATCTCGAGGCTAATTTGGCCACCAAATGAGAAGAGAGGACCTATTGGAAAAGATGTTGGGAAAGATTGAAGGCAAAAGGAGACGGGGATGGTAGAGTATGAGATGGTTAAATAGTGTCATTGATGCAGGGGACATGAGTTTGGGCAGACTCAGGGAGACAGTGTAGGGTGGGGGGGACTGGTGTGTTAGGATCTATGGCAGCGGTTCTCAACCTGTGGGTCGGGACCCCATTTGGGGTCGAATGACCATTTCATGGGGGTCGCCAAACAACACAGTCCGCCATTTTTTTCCCCTTTTCCTTAGCTGTGCTACTCCCTTTTATTCTATTGGCTTTTGAAAGCCAATAGAATAGACTCTCTTGAATAGAGTCTAATTCTATTGGCTTTCAAAAGCCAATAGGAATTGTCCAGGCTGTCTATGCCCTGCTGAGCCCGCCAAAAGTCCCATTCTGCAAACGGTGCTGCACCAGTTGAGTAGTCCTTGACTTATGACCGGGTGGGGGTCGCGGCATTAAAAAGGTTGAGAACCACTGATCTACGGGGTCACAAAGAATCGGATATGACTTAGTGACTGAACAACAGTATCTCAAACCAAGCCACAAATCTGGATTTTAAGTTGAACTTTAAAAGTTCTACATCTGCTCTTTGGTACACTAAGCTTTCCCCTTCTCCTAATCCCTCTAATTTCAGTGTTCTTTTGACAGCTGAAAAGAGCCAGGCAAATCTGTCTGGACCCATCCAGAAATTAATGAGAATCTGAATTTTTTTTTTACTCAGGAATGAGATACTGTGAGTGTCTGAATTAGGACTTGAAGAATGCTCTTACAAAAAGGGACAGAAAAAGCTTGTTTTTTAAAAAAAATTAGAATGTATAAAGAATTATGCACCAGCAGCTTCTGTTGCTTCTGATATAATGTAAATTGTACCTTGTGTTGCATGAAAACGCAACAGTAATTTATGATTTGTATCTAGCAGAAAGCCACACTGTAGGCACAAAACTTTGCCAGTGCTAAAAGCCAAGGACCATGTCTTATTGAGATGATTCCACTTCTGGCCCAGTTTGGGGGATAAAATCTGTGAATTTCAGTGAAAACCAGCCCATTAGCGGGAATTGTAAATAGCAGGATTTTTCACTGTGATATTTTTATCAGAAACTCAGTCACCGTTTGGTTACAATAGTATTTGTGCAGTTGCAGTCAAGGTCAGCCCATGGAATCAGTGGCAGAGCCTTTAGCTTAGAATTCTAAGTGGGGCCTTTCTCCTTGAGCAGATCCTCTCCCTCCCTGATGCTCATTTACTTACTCTCTTCACCTGGTCTGATCTGCTTGGCTGTGCAGAAGGGGATGTGACAGATATGCACCTGTCTCCGTCTGATCATAGATGTAACAGTTTCTGTTTGAAGTTTGAGCAATCTAACTTTAATGTTGAGATCAAAAAAAATTTCATAAAAAAGAGTAAGAACCTTCAAATTCCCTAACTAGTGAGTACATGGACAACAAACTGAGCAGGCCTAACAATTCACAATGCTCCCCACTACATTAAGATGTATTATAGAATTATGCCACTGCTATTTCTCAATTTCTATTAAGCAGATGCCTAGCAATGCTGATTGCTGATGGTGTTAGCTGTATTGGAATCAGGTACTCAAGTAATAGCTTTCCTTACTTTACACTCAAATTTCTTTCCCGCAATGTTTAATTGCTGGGGAGGAAGTCTTTGCAGGTATTATTTTAGTCAGGGCTTTTTTAGTAAAAAAAAAAAAAAAAGGTGCCGGAAGTCACACATGTCATACAACCCGCCTTGCCTACCCTACAAGGTTCCATCCAAAAAAGGTTCCAGAACTCTGGTCTGGGCATTCTATGACAAAAAAAAGCCCTGATTTTAGTAAAATTTATTTTTTAGAACTCAACTCTCTTGCCTTCAGGAAGAAAACATCAGTAAAATACATTTTTAGAGCAATTGGAGAGGTTGATGTTCACTTCTACCAGTAAGCTTGTATTGACTGTTTATGTTATATTATGCTATGCTAATCTCTTTTGCTCCAGATGTTCAGATCTTCTTGTGCACAATGACCTTCCCACCACTAGCATTATCATGTGCTTTGTTGATGAAGTGTGGTCTACTCTCCTGCGTTCTGTCCACAGTATCCTCAACCGGTCCCCCCTTGAATTGATTAAAGAAGTAATTTTGGTGGATGATTTTAGCACAAGAGGTAAGTTGATATCTCAGGATCAACATGTCATTTGATAATTTACTGTTTGAAAAAAGTATATTTTTTCATCATGATAGAAGTTACTGAGGTTCTCTAATACATCCCATACATTTCCCTGAAATATCAAACTGGCCTTATTTTGCTTCAGTGGATCCCTGTATGTCAGGCACAAAAGATCAGGTCTACAAGTGAAGGTCCAGTTAAACTGATTTATTGTTACTCATTGCTATGCATAGGAATCTCTCAACTAACAGTTGGCACCTGCCAACGGCACTCTAGGAAGGGGTTGGACTTCTCTAGTCTGATCCCTCTTTTCACTCTGCCTCCAGATTCTGTCATCTCTTCTCCTACATTATATCATATTTTTTCTCCCCTTACAATTTAGAGACAAATGTACCATACATTACATTTGACTTAAAAGCATGCAGAATATTTTGGGGTCATTGGATGCTTGTGTGCAAGATTTGAGAGATCAGCTAAGTATACCGCTGAAGCCTGATAGAAAGAATTTGCTTTTGGCCTATACAGAGAGGGAAGTTGCGTAAATATGTTATGACAAAAACATTTTTAACCTGTGAAATCCTTATAGGAGGAAGAAAGATTTGGTAGTACTTGGTTCAATTGTAGATAGTGCAGATAAATCTCTTTTCCTTTAACAATAATTTCCCAGAAAATGACAATGGGCCATTTTGTAAGGCAGAAGCAGCAGATTGGTGACAGGTACATCTTCATGACTGCTTCAAATGTTGGCAACTCAGTTTTTTCTCTTCAGGAAAAGTAATTCTCTGCAGCCTCATAGGCCTCCTCATCTCAAAAGTGCTATGTTAGTCCTTCCTTTTAGTGGGACATAAAGAATACTGCAAATCTGGAGATAGCTTTTAACCAAGTACTTGTTTCATTAGAGGATCTTTGGTTTTTATTATTTAAAATGGTCAGCAATGACACTTAAGTTGCTTGGCAGGTAGAATGTTTACTTTTTTCAGATTGCAAGAATATTGTTTATTTCTGGATAGATGATATGAAAAATACATATTTTGTGTGTGTGCATTTTACTGGATCAATTCTACCTAGTAAGGGTGACGTATAATCAGTTGATCAATATGTAATAGTAATATACAATTTCTACCCCCTATAATAACTGTCGGTAGAAAACAACTTTTTGGTATTTTTCAATAATCCTCTATAAATTGGAGGCAATGTTTGAGGACTGATGACCCATTTTGTTAGTTAAGTTTGAAATAGGTACAATCTGTAGTCCACATACTTGATTCTCCTCTGTTCTAATTTAGCTTACCTGAAGGACAAATTAGACAAATACATGGCACAGTTTCCAAAGGTACGTATCCTTCATCTGAAAGAAAGGCATGGCTTAATACGAGCAAGACTAGCTGGAGCAGAGATTGCCAAAGGTAAGCAGAATGGCATTGATTGATTAATTGCAGTTACCTTACAAGGTACAGAAATAATTAGAACAATCTAGTTTCTTAAATGAAATTTGTTCATTTAAATTTCATTAGAATAAAGTAGTATGTTCCTAGCTTTTGGTTAGCTGGGAGCAGATGCTAACATGCAGTACTCTTAACTGAATTCACACATTGTGTGAAGTCATGGCTTGTTTTATCCTCTCTCCTTATTATTCTAAGCAGTTTACATTTTTTAAAAAATACAATAAAAGATAGGTAGTCTTCATTTAACGACCGTTCTGACTTCTGAGAGCAATAACCGAGTTGTACAACCAAGTTGTAATTACATCCGAGGTGTACTTACAACTCAGTTAATTGTACTTGTTGGGGTTTTTTTTACTTTTATTTTTCTATTTTGTGTTATTACTGTAAGCTGCCTAATAATGCAAGCAAGTACACGGCTATATAAATTTTCTAAAATAAATAAATAAATAAATAAAATAAACTGATCCTCAGAATTCCATATGACACAATTCCCCATGGTCACAGGATCATGATCTGGTCACAGGATCATGATCTGAATGCTTAACAACTGGCCAGCTTCCCAGTTGTTGCCAGTGTCTCACAGTCATGTTGACATGATTTGTAGTCTTGGGTTCCCACAAGTAAATTCAATGGGGAAGCTGGCAGGAAATAGGAGTTACAATCCTCTGAGGTCCTCACTTAACAACCTGCACGGTCTTAGCTTAATGACAGTAACTGGGGACTGCCAGAAATGCTGTTGTTAAATGGTGCAGTGACATGATATTGCATTTTACAACTACATTTTTTAGGAATGGAAATTCCAGCCCTAATTACTGTTAATAACCAAGGACTGCCTATAAGCTCAGAGAACAGCAAGAATTCATCAGTTCAACCTTGAACTACATATGTTTTCTACTTTTTGAATAAGATAAGAATCTAAGAACTTAAGACTATCAACACCACTCCATAAAATGATTAAATTGTTTAATTAAAATCAAATCATAATTCAAATTAATGTTAGAGATAAAACTAAAAACAATTTCCAGTACCCCCACTGTAAAGAATTTGTTGATTTAGTGACAGTGGCTGTTTTTATACATGACATTAAGACCTAAACGGTATAGAAATCATTGCCTGGGTTTATATGCTGTGATATAACAGTATTATTCCAACAACTGTACAATAAGTTTATTGTACAATAGCAGATATTTTTAAAATCACCTACACAGTATAATTAGCATTAATTTACCTGCACTCCAGAATGTCTTTCCAATCTGGCCTTTTTAATAGATTTTAGTGGTAATGTTTTTAATTTTTAAATACTTTTCCTGCTGATGTAGTATTTCATGAATTTGATGTTGTTTTATTTGCTATGCAGCACCTTGGTATTTTTAGCAGAAAGTGTTACATATATATTTAAAATATTAAAACTTTCTGCCCACTAAAGATAGAAATTTAGTAGCAAGTTAATATAAAGGTTTTGCCAAGAACTGTACTTGAGGCCAGCTGTACTGATATTCCAGTATGAAAATCTCCTCTACTTTAATAGCTCTTGCAACACAGGCTCTTAATACTTTACCAATTTTCAGTATCAATATATATTTGGAATTGTTTTTCTTCTGAATGTTACTGTTATCAACTCTGAGACATTTTGTGGAAGATATGTTTGAAACTATAATTTTTGCTTTGATTTTTGGACTCAAATAGTACTTTGAGATGTGTGATAGAAAAACTTTCTGAAAATTTCTTTTTTTTTTAAATGAAAATAATAATCTGTGTCCCCCAAATTAAAGGATTATAGAGTTGTAAAAAGGGACTTCTATTTGGCATCCTTGTGTCCTTTTTCTGCACATTCTATCACTGTATTTCCCTTCAGGATCCTTAATAATTTATCCACACAAGCCTGGTCTATTGGAAATCATGACATGGATAGGATAATGTAAATAAATTAATAAAGTCTCCAAGTTTTGAAAGCTGATGACCATCAAAATGAAATGTGAATTAACGCAATGCTTCTTTAATGAGTTGGCTGGGTTAATTGTAGCCAGAGAAAATGAGGTAATTACATTACACAGTCAATAAGGTTTAATTATGCAAACTCACTGAGGGAAAGTAAATTCTGAGAGAGGTGAATATTTTCACAGGTAATACCAAAAATCATCAAAAGGAGGAGAATTTTTTTGATTTATCTCTTTATCTTCCTTCCTTTAGATAATATACCTATATTGCTTAGTGATTGATTTTCACATTTGGGTGTTCAACGGCCTCCCTTACATGTTAAAAACAAATGAAACAAATGGGTGTATAGTGGTAATCCTACCACTATACACCCAAGTCATGTAACCACTAGACATATGTTTTATGATCATAAGGGGCTTATGTGCAGAGATCCCCTCCAGGCAAGAGAGAATCTATTATGTTATAAAAGACCTTAGTATTAGTATATTAGTATGCATATAGCAACTTCATTTTGAGTTTGCCAGATATGCAGCAGCGATGGAGACATTAGCAGGTGATAGGACCAGTTATTGCTCACATAGAACTAATAAGCACCTTCAAGATTGTTCTGCATGAAATAAAATTTGTCCTTCCATAGATACACCTTTTTATTATTACACCACTGCAATGTTTGGAAGTCTCTGTTAATAAAATGAAAAACTTTTATTAACATGTTTTCCAACTCATATGTCATATATATTAATGAAGCTTTAAAGCACATCACAATTTCACTACTCTAGAGAAATTTCTAATTAGGTGAATATGGTGCTGACCAGCCGAGGCATTCTTATCAATTAGTGAAATGCCATAAAGGACATTTTTCACAGTGGTATATAAAAATTGTGTGTTGGAAAGAATATATGGTATGATTAAGATACAGTTAAGAATTAGCATTTCCAAGTTACTTTTTTGTGTGGAATCTTTTTATGGTTCTTGACAAAGTGAACAGTAAAAAAACAATATTATATTGTGGCAAGGTGGAAGTTTTTGAATAAATAATGAAGAGATATAATCTGTTTAAATAATGTCTCCCATGAACTTCTTTGTTATGTATGGATTATATGTTAAATAGCTATCCACAATGGGAAGCAGACAGAATGTTTTTTAAAGAGGCCAATAAATACTGTAAACCTTTCTAAGTTTTGCCTGTCTCCTTGTTATAATGGCAAATTTACTTGCTGCTCTAGGTGATGTCCTGACCTTCTTAGATTCTCATATAGAATGCAATGTGGGGTGGTTGGAACCTCTACTGGACAGAATTCATTTACATAGAAAAAAGGTTGCTTGTCCTGTTATTGAAGTGATCAGTGACAAAGATATGAGGTGAGTTTTATTCTTCCATGTTTCCCTTGAAACTATGGGGCTGATCCATGGGCAGAGAGGGAGTTCAGCATAGCTTTTTTCCAGGATTATATCCTGAATAAGGTCCTCCTACACACTGATAACTGAACTGGCCACACCTCCGTGATCTCATGTACTCTGACTCTGTCCTTTTAATATTTAGCTCTCCTATCTTGAAGGGCATGATCCGACAGGCTCTTCTAGGCATGTTTCTTCAAAACACTTTTAAAGCAGGAGTGACAGCAGGAGAAGCCTTGGGACTCTCAACACAGATTACTACCCTCATTTGGGCAAAACACAGTTCTACCTTGATAGAACATCTATTCTTAAGATAATAATAATAATAATAATAATAATAATAATAATAATAATAATAATAATAATAATAATAATAATAATAATAATATAAGTTGGAAGGACCTTGGAGGTCATCTAGTCCAACCCCCTGCTCAGGCAGGAAACCCTACACCATTTCGGACAAATGGCTGTCCAGTCTCTTCTTAAAAACTTCCAGTGTTGGAGCATTACTGCTTCTGGAGGCAAGCTGTTCCACTGATTAATTGTTCTCACTGTCAGGAAGTTTCTCCTTAGTTCTAGGTTGCTTCTCTCCTTGATTAGTTTCCACCCGTTGCTTCTTGTCCTGCCTTCAGGTGCTTTGGAAAATAGCTTAATTCCCTCTTCTTTATGGCAGCCCCTGAGATATTGGAATACTGCTATCATGTCCCCCCTTGTCCTTCTCTTCGTTAAACTAGACATACCCAATTCTAGCAACCGTTCCTTATATGTTTTAGCCTCCAGTCCCCTAATCATCTTTGTTGCTCTTCTCTGTACTCTTTCTAGAGTCTCAACATCTTTTTTACATCGTGGTGACCAAAACTGGATGCAGTATTCCAAGTGTGGCCTTACCAAGGCATTAAAGAGTGGTATTAATACTTCACGTGATCTTGATTCTATCCCTCTGTTAATGCAGCCTAGCACTGTGTTGGCCTTTTTGGCAGCTGCAGCACACTGCTGGCTCATATTTAAGTGATTGTCTACTAGGACTCCGAGGTCCCTCTCACAGTTACTACTATTGAGCCTGGTGCCACCTATGCTGTACTTTGCTTGTTTGTTGTAAAATGTAATTCAGAATAAAGTAAGAAAACACAAAGCTCATTTCACAATGTTAAACAGTTCATAATTTTGCAAGCTGTTGTTTTTAGTCTGATGTTATTAGCCCCAAACCTCAAAGATGCCATTCAGTTTATTGTAACTTCTGATTCAGCATTTGCCTCTTAAATGAATTCTTTGCATGTTCTCCATTGTTTAGTTACATGACCGTGGATAGCTTTCAGCGTGGTGTTTTCACATGGCCAATGAATTTTGGGTGGAAACCAATTCCTTCAGATGTAATTAAAAAAAATAAGATTAAGGAAACTGATATAATTAGGTAAGTATGTGAAGTTAAAGTTTTGTGAACAGAATTGCTTTTTAAGTACCGTATTTTCCGGCGTATAAGACGACTGGGCGTATAAGACGACCCCCAACTTTTCCAGTTAAAATATAGAGTTTGGGCTATACTCACCGTATAAGACTACCCCTCTTCCAAATAAAAATTAAAAAACATCAGATTTGATTTCAATATGGTAATTTTAATTCAAATGCTTATGACATGCAGGTACTTAGCAGAAAAACTGTCATTTATAAACATAAGGCTGTCATCAAACATATAAACATAAAACAGTGCAAGTGGATTAAACTTTTCCTAATTCACTCTAAAGCTGAAAGGAAGGATAAGACAATAAAACCATGGGAGCTGCCATGCTGTTTGTTTTCTAAGCTGTCAACCAAACTGAACTGATGATGATAGGAGCACACACACACATGCCTCCTTTCCCTCTTCCCTCCAATCCTTCCCAGCTCAGAAAGCAGCGAGGAGAAGCGTGCGTGTGCACACACACACACACACTCGCCTCCTTTCCCTCTTCCCTCTCCCTCCAATCCTTCCCCCCCACCCTGATTTCCAGCTCAGAAAGTGCAAAGCAGCAAGGAGAAGTGTGTGTGTGTGTGTGTGCGCGTGCACACCAGACTGCCAGAGACACTTAGGGGCAGGGAGCACAATGAGAGACAGCAAGGGAAAGAGGAACTTGCCTTACTCTGTTTCCTGGAATGCCATGGAGAGAATGGCACGTCAAGCGGGGGGGGGGGTGACGCCTCTGCTAATTGCTTTTATTCACCACAGGCTGGATGCTGGTTTGCCGGGTGGGGGGGTGGGAACAGCAAGTGGGAGCCTATGTAAAGCACTGGGAGCAACTCACTCCCAGTGCTAACTTTGTTGCTGTATGGATTAAAGGCCATTCGCTTGTCATTCGTTCCTGTTTGTCGGCTCTTTTCTGGGCACCGAAGAGGACGCGCTGACAGATATTTCAGTAGTTGCTTGTTGTAATTTTTAACTTATTTAAACCTTGCTGATTTCTGTACAAAATGATTCACCTGCTGAAGCATGCATATCTGCATTGGCTATTCATGGCACATTAATGAAAATTAAGGAGTGAGATAAGGAAAAAGTAATTTTTGTGCAGTACTGTAAAAATGGCTATTGATTTCCAGTAAGCACACACGCACGCACGCACGCCTCCTTTCTCCCTCCAATCCTCCCTTCCCACCCCGATTTCCAACTCGGAAAATGCAAAGCGTGTGTGTGTGTGTGTGTGTGTGTGTGTGCGCGCGCGTGGGCGTGGCCTCCTTTCCCTCTTCCTCCAGTCCTTCCCAGCTCAGAAAGCAGCGAGGAGAAGCGCGCGCACACGCACACACACACACACACACACACACACACCCTCCTTTCCCTCCTCCCTCTCCCTCCAATCCTTCCCTCCCACCCTGATCTCCAGCTCAGAAAGTGCGAAGCAGCGAGGAGACAGATTGAGACCCCCAGGCATTTATCAGCCTGTGACTTCAAGTTAGCAAAAAGCAGCTGCAAACCACACGCCTGCTAGAGGTGAGCCGCGGGGACGGATTGCTGAAACAAACAGCTTAGAGTTTAATTGCTCTTCCCACTGCCACTCTACCAATCAAGGACTCTTTTTGAGTGAGGGGGGGGGGGAGAGAAAACTTGATGAGTAATATACCAAACCACATGTGTAAAGGAATAAAATAGAATACCCGTATTTTCCGGCGTATAAGACGACTCGGCGTATAAGACGACCCCCAACTTTTAAGAAGGTTTTTGTGTCTTAGAAAGTCGTCTTATACGCCGGAAAATACGGTAATAAATATTCAACATGGTAGAATGACACATAGTTTATGATTTGCAAATTTCTTCTTTCTGGATGGAAACTAACATGTTAAACATGACCTGTTTATTCAACTAAAGATGTTACTTTAAAGTAGAGTAAAGAACTTTTGATTTTTTAGATATTACTGAATTACGTCTCTGCCCATTCTGGTCCGCGGAAGTTGTAACTTGACAATAGGTGTCTACACGTTCTCTGCTTCTGCTTTAAATTATTGTCTAACATAAGTCAAGAGATTTTATAAGATTTTGTAAAAATCTATTAAAATGGCAACATTGAACTATTGCCAAACTAGATTTCTAGTGTTGTGAACATTCAAGTATACTTGCATTTAATAACAATTGTCATTTGTGTGCAAAAGGACATGTTTCAAAATAGCAAAATCTTCATTTGCCCTCCCAAACCTCAATATACGTGTTATGTCTGGTTCAATTATTAGGTGTCCTGTAATGGCAGGTGGGCTATTTTCTATTGATAAGAAGTATTTTTTTGAGCTTGGAGCATATGATCCTGGCCTTGATGTTTGGGGAGGTGAAAATATGGAGATCTCATTCAAGGTATGTTAAACATATTTTCATTTGTTTATAATTTGTACTTGATTATCAAATTAATGCTCTCTTGTCAGTAGCTAAATCGTGCATATGCATTCGTTTCCAATTCTCTTAACAATGGATGATCAGGAATAACTGTCTTAAAATAAATAGTATAAAGCCATTATGATATGATTATTTGTATATATGGAAGTGGATATCCATAATACCCCAATGCCTGGTGAATCAAAAATATATTATTATGGCTGCGCAGATGATGCAAATCTCTAGGGAAGATAGTCAGCAAACAAATGTAGTAAATAAAATATCATTTGTTATTTCTGTCCATTATGTACAAAATCAGTGCACCAAAGTCAAGAAAATTGAATTTTCTCCAGCATGATGACTGAAGAATCCACCAATGGGTTATTTCAGTCCTCCTGCCCAATCAGACCAAGTTGTCACACCTCCTCATTATCTGGAACCTCCCAGTTTCATCTTGGTCTTTCACCCATGAGGACGTGATAACTTGACTCTCAGTTCGTTTGGAGCAGGTCAGACTAGATGTTATTAATCCATTGGTGGATTCTTTCTGAGATTGGGAAAAATTAGTGGAGGTTATTACCTTCTCTTGAAAATCTGAATCCCTTTCCCCTTCCCTTCAGGGCTAGAGTAGCACTCCTCTCCAGGACTGGGAAGGTGGTTTCTCTTCCCTGAATTCAGCAGTTTGCTGAACTATTCCAAAACCTTACCTGATAGAAGCGGGGGAGTTTCCCTTCGTCGTAGTGAGGGGGGATTGAGTATTCACACTCCCCTAGAAAATGCGCGTGTTTCTGGCTGGTGGCCGCCATTTTGAGGCCTCATGGCTTCTTCTCTGACCGGGCCCGGTCAGGGATTCCTATAGTGGCCACCATTTTGAATCCGCGGAGCACAGCTTTGCCGAAGTTTCTTTTCAGCCGAAGCACAGCTGTGTGGATTGATTAGAGCAAGCGACAGGGGGAATTTTGTCTGGCCTTTTTGTTTGCCCTCGGGCTGATGCTGAAGAGGAGGAAGCCTCACTTTACAGCGGTGAGCTGTTTCGCACCTAACAGCTGTTAGGCACGATTTCCCAAACCGATCTCTTCATTACAGAAAAACCTAGAAACTTGTTTTCTTACCTTTTGGGTACCCTTTGACTATCTTAAGAGCCTCAATTCTCCTCCTCCTTCCCCCCCCCCCTTCCTTCCTCATGGAGCTCAAGGCGTCCACCATCTTTAAGGCATATTTCCACAGGGAAATGCCCATTCACACCCAGGCCAGGACACCATTTTGTGATTGTTTAAACAACTTGCTGCAGTTATATATAATTGTTCTACATAGTTTCACTGGTATAATTACATAGATTTGCATATACCTTTGCATCATTTTCATTAACTTTATCCTTGAGCTTAAGTGTTTCAGAAATTATCATTCCTATTGAGGAAATCTATTATCAACAAGAGTGTGGAATCAGCAGAAGCAACGATCCTTCAGGCCCTGCTCGCCACATTGCCTATATCTGCCACTCTGCATCTAGTGGTTGCTTCAAGTTCCTGATCATCACCACTATTGTGAGACACGTGTGATTTTGTCACCAACGTGATCTCAGGTCCATTGCTGGGTGACGAGCGCTTCAGCGCCAAGCGTGAGTTCAGGTTAGCCAGTGGGCCGACTCACGCTAATCCACGTGAAGTCAGTCCCTCTTCAAGGAGGCTCCTGACGTCCCTTGCAGAACGAGTCAGTCCCAGAGTCACCTCTGGGTTGCATCTCGACTGATATGGCAGAACCTTTGAACACTGAGTCACAACATTTGGACACTGACAACACCCACGTCCAAGTTGAGCCAGCACCTGAGGCGCCTGGAGGTAAGGCCAAAGCCAAATTGAAGTACGGCAGGCAGGCTGGCAAGGCAAGTGATAAGCAGGCCGACTGTACACATAGAGCCCTGGAGAAGCAATTCTCCCAGGCCCAACGCTTATCTGCTGAAAGAGGTCATACACTTCAAAACCTCCATACCACCTGACATGGGAGCACCCCTACCATCCACATCGCGAGCTTGGTCACCTGAGAATGTGCATCAGCAGGTCTCGACGCAGACCTTTGGTCAGGGAGGACCACCTCTGTTTGGAGAGGACCTTGATTTGCCTGGCCCATCAACAGCACCCACCGCTGCTATCACATCATCTGCTGTGGGGTTACGGCCTCCGCTAGAGTAGTCCTTCTTCGACCAACTCCAAGTGTGAATATCACAGGCTGTGTTCCAAGCCATGGCGTCAGCGGGTCAACAGCAGGCATCTCCCATTCCGGGGTCGTCTTCACCGACCACCTCCGCACGACCTCACTGGATCGGTCAGGTATGGTCTCCCCATCCCATTCTCCTGAATCCGACTCTTCCAACGTTTCGGATTATGAGGGAGGTAGGGATGGTTGGTCGGATTGTGAGGAACCTACCCATGAATCTCAGCGCATGGCGGAGCTCTTTAACGCTTCGCTATTTCCTTCATTGCTGCGTAGAGTCTATGTAGTGGGCAAGCTATCCTCACAACTGGTTCCAACCTCTCAGCCTTCCTCTGATCAGGATATTAATCCCCTGTTTGCCATGCCTGTAGACGAACACCTACAAATTCCCTGTCCCCTTTTATTCCTCAAAAATATTCAGGGGCAGTGGGAGTTACTGGTTGCTCAGCCAACCCAGGGAACAGCTGAGCGCAAGATAGTGGACGTGGCTAAGAATTTGGCTGATTTATTGGAGATACCAAAAGTAGATGAGTCACTGGCTCCACTTTTTTCAACTGCTAGTCTCCCGGCAGATGTCTCCGACTCCCTTAAGGCGGAAGATAAAAAATCTGAAATGGCCTTACGCAAGGTCCATTTGGCATCTGCATGGGCTGCAAAGGCGGCAGCTTCCACTTCCTTTTTTGCCAGGATTTCAATTACCTGGCTTCATCAGTTGCAGGACAGGATTCCATTGGAAGAGGCCAGAATTCATCAGGATTTAACCAAGCTAATAGCCACATCCGAGTATATGGCAGATGTCTCCTTGTATTCAGCCAAGCACTCAGTCCAATCAATGGCTTCCAGCGTAGTCACTAGGAGGCTTCTATGGCTCAAAAACTGGAGGGCTGAGAGAAAACATAAGTGGCGTGCGGCCACTGCCCCCTTCATGGGTGGCAGATTGTTTGGGGAGGCCCTAATGCCATATCTCATCGAAAACAAACAAAAACAAAAGGTTATTTCTCATTTGGCAAGGAGAACTAACAGACGTTTCCTCCCTTACAATCGCAGACAGTCCTTTTGGACTGGGACTGCAACGGAGTCGGCACAACCATACCGACCCCCAACCCCCAAAAATGAGCACTCCTTTGACAGGGCAAGCTATAGGGATAGAACCCAGTACCAACCCCAAAACAAAAATTCCTTTCGTGGCAGAGCGGGCCGCTCCTTCCGTCGCACCAAGTGACTCACAGGGGACTCCCCCCATTGGCAGCAGATTTACTCTCTTTATACTCCAATGGGAAAACACGACCACAGACTCCTGGGTTCTGTGCACCATAAGAGAGGGCCTGTCCCTGGAGTTCAAATCCAGGCCAGTAGATCATTTTGTGTCTTGCCCAGCCAAGAGAAACTTTGTAAAAAGAGGGCTCATGGAAGACGCCATCCAACACTTACTCACCATCAAGGCTATAGAGGAGGTCCCCCTGAATCAGGCGGGATGGGGGTATTACTCCATTCTATTTGTGGTCCCAAAATCTTCAGGGGAATGGAGGGCCTCAAGGGACTGAACCTCCATCTTCAATACCAGATGTTCAAAATGCAGTCGTTACACTCCATCTTATCCAGCATAAGACGGGGGGATCTATTGACTTCAATAGATCTAAAGGAGGCATACCTGCACATCCCCATCTTCCCGGACCATTGCAGGTATCTGCAATTCTGCTACCTCAACCGTCACTTTCAATACAAGGCTCTACCATTCGGCCTCTCCTTAGCACCCAGAGTCTTTACCAAGATCCTGGCAGTGTTGGCAGCTCATTTAAGATTAGTCCCTGTTCGGGTCCAGTGCTATCTGGACGACATCCTGGTCCAGTCCCTGTCAGTTTCAACCACCCAGTCAGATTTGGCCCTCACAATAAGGACCCTACAGAACCACGGTTCTTGATAAATTTCAAAAAGAGCCAACTGACTCCCTCTACCCACCTGTTACATCTGGGTGTGGTGATAGACATGGAAGTTTGTCACGTGTACCTATCAGAAGAGCAGCGCAGGAGCATCAGAGACATGGCACTCAGGGTGCGCAGAAGCAGGACTGTGTCATTGGCCACACTTTCTCAACTCCTGGGGAAGTTAATATCATGTATAGCAATAGTGCTGTGGGCCAGGTTACACACATGGGACCTTCAGTGGTTCCTGCTCCCATACCAGAGACAGCACACCAGTACATCCAACCGGTTGGTGCGCGTTCCTCATTAGGTATGTCTTATCTCTCAGCTGGTGGACTTCATCGGCCATTCACAGGGGGACTCTATTCAAAGAGCCTAGTCGCATCAGCGTGACCACGGACGCAAGTCTCTTCAGTTGGGGTGCACACCTCCAAACCCAGATGACTCAGGGTCAGTGGTCACAGACAGACCTGAGGCACAGCATAAATTGGTTGGAGCTCAGAGTGATCCAACTGGATCTCAAACATTTTCACTCAGTAGTCAAGGGGCAACATGTGCTGGTCCTGACGGACAATGTGGCTGCAAAAGCTCACATGAACCAGCAAGGGGGCACCCGGTCCAAGTCCCTCATGACAGAGGCTCGAGCATTGAGCTCCTGGGCAGAGAAACACCTACTCTCCCTCAGGACTGAGCATATCTCGGGAGAGGCAAATCGGCAGGCAGACTTCCTCAGCAGGTCGATAGTAGATCATTCAGAGTGGATGTTACATCCAGATATTTTCAGGGAGATCTCGCACAGATTTGGTTGTCTGATCGTGGACCTGTTCACCTCACCGGGGAATGCCCAGCTGCCCAGATTCTTTTCTCTGTTCCCCTCCCGGGGAGCAGAGGGGGCGGATGCCCTGCGCAGCTGGTGGCCTCAAGGTCTGTTGTACACCTTTCCCCTACTGCCTCTACTTCCAGCAGTTGTCAGGAAGATCCTGGAGGAACAGGCGGAAGTGATCTTTATAGCTCCTCACTGGCCCAGAAGACCATGGTTCACAGACCTGGTGAGTCTCTCATCCTCAGCCCCGTGGAGGATTCCAAACAACCGGATATGGTTGACGCAGGGGGATCTTCAGCATCCAGACCCCCAATGGCTTCAATTGACCGCCTGGCACTTGAACGCCGCACCCTGACCAGGGAATCATATTCAGCGAAGGTGATTGATATGATCCAGGCGGCCAGGAAACCGGTGGCTAATGTATTTACGACCATACATGGAATTGCTTCTGGTGCGACAGGAATCACGTGAGTCTGTCGCAGGTAACCATTCCCAGGGTGCTAGAATATTTGATGGAGGGCATCAAAAAGGGGTTGGCGCCCAACACTATCCGCAAACAGTTAGCGACACTTTCCTCTGTACTCTTGTGGGACTCCTCAGAGTCCTTATCAAGGCATCCCACCATATGGTCTTTCCTCAAGGAAGTCACTAATAGTAGACCCCCTGTGATTCATAGATATCCTTCTTGGAACTTACCTCGGGTTCTTCAGGCACTAACCTCACCTCCCTTTGAACCACTTAAAACGTGTTCCTTACGACACTTGTCACTCAAAGTCTCCTTCCTGATTGCAATTACTTCGGCTAGGCACATTTCAGAATTGGCTGCCTTGTTGGTCAGGAAGGACCTGTGCATGTTTCACGAGGACAGGGTGGTTCTCCGACTAGACCCTTCATTTATTCCAAAAATAAATACAGTATTCCATAGAGAACAAGAGGTCATTCTTCCAGATTTCTGTCCTCATCCGTCACATGAATTGGAACGGCAATGGTGCACCCTTGATGTAAGGAGATATGCCGTTATATCAAGCACACGGCACCCTTCTGTAAATCTGAAGCCCTGTTTGTGTCCTTTCAGCCTTCTTCAATGGGTCAAAAGGTGTCCGCTTCCACCATAGGTAGGTGGATCAGGGCCTGTATCGCAAGTGCATACGTCTCACTTGCCCTGCCTGTTCCTCTTCATGTGACGGCTCACTCCACCCACAGTGTTGCCACAACTGCGGCGTGGGCAACCCAGGCGTCCATTGAGGACATTTGCAGGGCAGCGACATGGTCCTCACCATCACCTTTCATTAGACATTACCGTTTGGACAAATTTGCGTCGGCTGAGGCCGCTTTTGGTAGGCATATTTTACAACAAGTAGTCACACCATCTGGGGGACCGGCCCCAACTGACTCCCACCCTTACCTGAACGCCTTTTCTCAGCATGATGATGAAGAATCCATGCCCTCCCTTTTAGAAGTCAGTCAGGTCTGGGTTGGGCGCTCGTTATTGTAGGTTTTTTTTCTAATACTTGCTTGAGAGTCATCACATCGAACTGTTGTCATTGGCTACGCCATCGATGAAACTGGGAGATCCCAGATAAGGAGGAGGCGTGACAACTTGACAACTTGGTCTGATTGGGCAGGAGGACTGAAATAACCCATTGGTGGATTCTTCATCATCATGCTAAGAAAAGGCATTCAGGTAAGCCAACGCTCCTTCCTGGTATATACTGTAGATATATATATATATATATATATATATATATATATATATATATATATATATATATATATATATATATATATATATATATTATTTATAATTCTATATCTAATAATCTATTAATATTTTAAATTCCTGGTTTCTCAAGCAATATATATTATCTCAATATAACTTACATTATAAAATCCTAAGCTTCCCTTTCAACCAAGACATAAAGCTCCAAATGCTGACCAATCATGCAATATTTATTACAAAACAATGATCAAAGATTAAGCCTGAAGACTCAATCAGAAATGATAGACTGAGGCCTCATCACTGGCTTGAATCAAAAGAAAGATTTGAAAAGAGTTTGCAAACTAATATTTGTGCTCATTATAAGTGGTGTAAGGTCTAAATTTATTAAACAACCATTATGGCCATTGTTTTACTTCTGAAGGTTTTAACAAGAAAGTGATTCTGAGTAGTAGAAATTAGAGAAGGTGTTCTAAACCACGACTTATCCAGGAATTTGGAACTCCAAGCCATTATTTGTGCTGTAAATACATGGTTGAGGCAAATCATAACGTTACATGATCTCAACTTAGTAGATATGGATTTTCTCATAATAAAACAAAGTAAGACATATACAGAAGTTAAGACATCTACACACTGCAGATTATGGAATGAAATTGCCAGAAATTGTATCTATTGTTGCCGTGATTTTATTTCATCAGGTTTGGATGTGTGGCGGAGAAATTGAGATTATCCCGTGTTCCCGAGTAGGTCATATTTTTAGGAATGATAACCCCTACTCCTTCCCTAAAGATCGTCTCACTACAGTAGAACGGAATTTGGCCCGGGTGGCAGAAGTTTGGCTGGATGACTACAAAGATCTTTTCTATGGACATGGTTATCACCTCATTCAGAAAAATTTGGACATTGGAGATTTAACTCAACAGAAGAAACTGAGGGAGCAGCTCCAGTGCAAGAACTTCAAGTGGTATTTAGAAAACGTGTATCCTGATTTGGAGGCCCCTCTCGTTAAAGCTAATGGGCTGGTACGTTCATTTTACCAACTCAGGTTTTTACTATGTGCTTATGTCAATTGTGATTTTTAGCTTAATTTCTTTTCTTCTTGTGCACTATAAAAATCTCATGTTAGTAGAAGCAAAATAGTTGTGTTAGTTGAATTTCCCATCAAGTGAAAAGTTCTAAAGAGATGGGTGGGTGAATTGGTTGATTTATTATGTCGCCTTGTTCCCTAAATGCAGTTTTGTTTTAATAATTTATAGTCATTTAAAAACTTCATTATGGACTTCTATATGTGCAGTATATTGAATCATTATCCTGAGGGTAAAATCCACAATATAAAAATCAAAGAACATCACTACCGGGTGGTTTTTAACTCTCAAATCCATGAATACACTGTATCTTGAGCTTCTAATGTCAACATGCTTATTTAAAGTAAAACATAGAAAAACATTTCACAGAGTTTATTATTACTTGTCTCCATGAAGGCACTAAAATTGTCAGATGACAAAGAGAGTGCAGAATGTAAAAGGTCTAGTGCAGACATGTCAAACTCGTGACGTCACATGACGTTGTGCAACGTATTGGGAGAGTTTTGCCATTGCCGGCAATGGGGTGGGCACGGCTTCCGCATGATGTGTCTGGCCTGTGGGCCGGCAGCTTGACACCCCTGGTCTAGTGTCATTCTTTGACATCACATGGTTGCCAGGATACATTCAGGTAATATACACAGGATAGACAAAAGGGTGATGGTATTTTTTCACGGGAATAGCACTAGATAGGCCATAGATATTGCTCTTGTTTTTTGTTGAAGTTCTGCTTCTTTAAATACATAGCTGGAAAAATTGGGATTCTATTGGTTTCAGGTAAAAGAAATCAGTGTTAGGAATAAAATTATTGAAAACATGTTGATGACTAGTTAATACTGAAGTTTCTTAGTGGGACATTTAGGATTTATATAATTATGAAATCTTATTTCTTTATGAAATTTATATGTCACCTCAATCCAACTGGATTCTAGAGCAATGGTTCTCAACCTGGGGTCCACAGACCCCTAGGGGGCTATGATGTTGTCATGGGTCCGCGAAGGCTTGAAGAAATGCTATTATTTAAATCTTCAGTTAAATCTTGGTGGTCTGGGGCCATGGTTCATGGCCACAAAAGATATTTAAAGGAGGTTCATGGTGAAGAAAAAGTTGAGAACCACTGCTCTAGAGAATTAGTTTGATTGAAAACAAATTTGTGAATGGGTGGTGGATATTTCTGGTATCTCCATGTTAGCAATAAATTAATTGAATGCAAATTGATTTGTAAGCGTTCTGAGTGAAAACTAATTTGGGGGATATTAGGGATTATATAAGGGGGGGAACTGAAGCAATTTTCAACTACAAATTAAGGGCCTCTTCAGATTGTGATATTGGGTTATGGTCTTCTCCTGTGGATAGCTGCCCTGGGCTCCATAAATTCTCTGCATAGTCTTTGGCATATGAATATTTTGAGATAAATTAATACTGATGAATTAAGGCTGCTGATATTTGGAGCTGTGACCAAAATGGCGATTTGTATTCTGTTTACATAGTAAAAAATAGTCACTTTTCTTCATCTGTACCAGCTTTTCGTTTTCAACAGTGACTGGGTAGCATATTCTGGTTCTCCCAACAACTAGTTTTTGAAGGTGTATTGCCCCAAAGATAGAGAAAGTTAATTTAACTCTCAGGCCAAAGAGAAAAATCTTTCTTGGTTGAAGTTGACATCAACAAGGTGGAAGATATTCTGGGGAAAGATCAAGCCAAGCAAAGTTATTTTTTTTTTATTAAAAGTTTTAGAATTTTTTTACAGTATATAACCCAAATCCCTCCCCCCTCACCCCCCACCCCCACTTCCCAGAGCTGATTACAGGGTTACAAATCAGCAATCATAATCTAACTAAAATTACCCAACTCTACTAACAATCAAATCCATAACATACTTTAACTCCTTTTCAAAATAAATATTAACAAATTAAAAACCAAAATAATATAATTAAACAATAATACTAAAAATAATATAAATTCTATCATATTAAACTATTAAAAATAATCTAAAATTTACTCATAAGCTAAATAATACTTTTTAGTCTCATATTTATTCTGGATATAATCTATCCATCTTCTCCAAACCAAAATATATCTTTCTTGTGAGTAATCCTTTAAATAAGCGGAAATTTTTGCCATTTCTGCTAAGTTAGACATCTTGAGTGTCCATTCTTCCATAGTAGGCACTGAATCTTTCTTCCAATATTGCCCCACCAGTAATCTTGCATAGCCAAGCAAATAACTGAATCCACACATTCTGCTATAGTATAGTATAATAAAAATCATATGAAAGCCTAGATTAACTAAAGCCTGAATAGGCAATGGAGGTCAATAATTGTGGGTCCATCTGGTGATAACTATGATAACTGCGCCGAGGTGGCGCAGCAGTTAGAGTGCAGTACTGCAGGCCACTTTAGCTGACTGTGTTCAGCAGGTCAGCGGTTCAAATCTCACCGGCTCAAGGTTGACTCAGCCTTCCATCCTTCCGAGGTAGGTAAAATGAGGACCCAGATTGTTGGGGGCAATGTAAATATATATATACATTGCTTACTGGTGTACACCGCTTAGAGAGTGCTTGCACTTAAAGCGGTATATAAGTCTCATAAATAAATAAATAAATAAATAAATAAATAAATAAATAAAAGATTACAACTTGGAATGGATATGGAGTAAATGGTAAAGACAGAGATTTTATAGAATGTAATGGGCATGCTTGGAGTAAAGTTTTGGTTAGTCTTGTAGCATGTTGGCCAAAATATGCCCAAACTGATTACCACTCGCTGTGCCATTAGCCCAGAATGCTGTTTCTGGAACAGATATGACTAATGCTCATAGCTTAGTCTACATCAGACATGTCAAACACAAGGCCCGGGGACTGGTTGTGGCCCATGAAGTGGTTTCATGTGGCCCGTGAAGCCATCCTGGAAACAGTGAGGGAACGGCCCCTGCTGCCTTGGCCCTGGCCCCGGCCGGCCGGGAGGGAGGGAGCCAATGTACAATTTTGTGGTGGCCATCTATGCTGAAATACATTCAGTCTTAGCTCCACAAGGCCGTCTAGAAAGCAAGTGTGTTATTTTCTCAGTTGTTTACTATGTTTATGGATAAACATATCAAAATGATTAGAGGTTTTTTGGATGAGGATGTAAATATGTGTGTACTTGCATGTCCTCATAATAATGGTTGAGTATCTGAATGATATTTGATGAATGTATAATGATTGCAGGATGTAGAAAGGCTATGAAGTATGGATAAAATTAATGTATCAAAGATCAGGCAATTATGTTTGACAAAGAAAGTTGAATGAATAGTTGCAAGTTATACATGAATGATGAAGAAATGCAACATGTATTTGAATTTTTCTATCTTTGTAGAATATTTACTAAAAATAAAAAAACAGGTGGCAAAACTTCAAGACATACAAAGGCTAGTAAAAGGGTAGAGAGTGGTATGTTGTATATTGTAAGGCTCAAAAGAAGCAAAAATGGCTGTTTTTAAGAAGGTATTTTTGTTCTCTTTGACATAAAAACGGTGAACGCTGGGTATGTCAGGACAAATTTAAAAAAGTAAAATGCAGTGGGAATAGGTTAAGAAATCTCTGGTAAGAGGAAGTGCTAGTATCAAGATTAAATAAAGGTGAATTCAACATCAAAGTGAGTGACCAGTACAAAAAAATATACTGCAATGGTTTGGTCATATAGAGAAAGTGAATGAGGATTGAATTTCAAAGTAAATCTCTATAAAAAAAAAACCAATGTATTGAGAGGAAGGGAAAGTACAAAAAAAATTGTATTTGGATAGCATTTATCAGATGTTAGAAAGAAGTAGCTGAGGAGAACAAATCTGATGAATATATAAATCAATATGTGGAATTGGTAGAAACAAGGATAGTTTGCAAGTATATAAAAGACTTCGGATAGTTTGCAAGGCATGGAGAGATATAGTGAATTATGTTCGTATAAACTAGATATAACTGTGTTTTTTGTCTTATTTCATGTGTACACATTTTTAATGTCTGTTGTTTATTTGGTTAATATTTCTTGCTTTGCTGCATGTAACATATTCTATTGAAAGGAAATAGTGTAATTGGTATGTATGTTCAATAAGATACTATTACATGTGTTTACACAACGTACAAAACTACAGTAGAAGTAAACTCCTTTATGGCTTAGATTAATGAGTGAACCTGACCTATACATATCTGTGTATCTGTGTTATACATAGACAGGCATTTATCATTTCTAGTTTTTGGAAGCACAACCTACTGGTGATGGGTTCCCTATGCTAATCTAGCTTGAAGTCTTGGAAGTAGATGCTACAGAATTAAGAGCTGTGTTGACACAGTGGTTAGAATGCAGTATTGCAGGCTACTTCTGCTGACTGCCAGCTGCCAGCGGTTTGGTAGTTCGATCCTGACCCACTCAAGTTTGACACAGCCTTCCATCCTTCCAAGGTTGGTAAAATGAGAACCCAGATATTTTTTTGGGGGGGGGCAATATGCTATCCGCTTAGAGAGGGCTGTAAAGCACCGTGAAGCAGTATATAAGTCTAAGTGCTATTGCTATTCCTGCATTTTTCTCTAAATCTGCATTTTTCTTAAGCACTGCTTTTTCTTTTAGCAAGATTTTCTATTACTACTCCTGGATATTTATTTATTATAGTGCAACATCTCTGATTTGAAATCAGATAACTATAAAGAAAGGATAGTAGTTCTGTCAGTGGAAAGTTATGCATTCCAAGCAGTACATTGGCATGTAGAAGAGAAAAAAGTAGTATGTTTTATATTTTTTCCCCAGAATTAACTGGCAAAAAAATTATATAGGAAACTGGTGTAGGTCCTTAGAGTAATATTTGTAAATTAACAAAATGGGGAAATATTTAAAATTCGTAAGCCCCAAATACTGATTCTCCTTCAGTAAACATAAAGCTTTCTTATTCTTACCTTCCAAAATCTATATAATTTATTATTGTTATTACTATATAACTATTACCTAAATGAGATATGTTGATATCAGGCAGATGCTTCAGACATTCAACCTAACTGTAGAACTTGTTCACTTCAAATCCTTAAGGATTTCATAATTTCAATTTACAACCACTAGAGTGCACTAGAAATCCATTTTATTCCTTTCTGGAATAAAATAGGAATTGTTTCTGTAGTGTCCTAAAGCCAAGACCATCTATAAAACTGTGTTATGATGCATCTTAAGGAACTTTTAATACCCATTCTCCAGCTCCAAAGATAATTTAGCAGCTGTAAATAATAGCCATCGTAACACGAAATGTGATATGAGTTCCTCTAGAATAGCATTTACAGGAACTACGAAGTGGAGCCATAAAACTTTTTATGAGCTGTGGGAGATAGAAGGAAGTTGTTTGGCTTCCTTTTTCCAAAAGCTGTTTTAATTTTTTTTTTTTTACGATTGCTACTTCTGATAACTTTAACATAAAATAAAACCTTTCTCTTTAATGTGTGTGTGTGTGTGTGTGTGTGTGTGTGTCTTTGTTATTCACATACACACATCCATAGCCGAGATTTAGAGCTGAGTGACTACTACTAAGGAATTTTGAACCTTGTAAGACGTGATGACAAGTGCCTCAATTTGAATGGCGATTATGTCAAAAAGTAATGTAATGTTGTAGTTTTCTAATGTGTATAATAAAAGTTTTGTATCTGCAAGTGCCTGTCATTGATAACCAAATGGAGGTTTATTTCCGAATTACTCTCGTAATTGGTATAAGAACATCTCCTGAGATTCCATTTGTCAGCACAATTATGAATTTGTATAGGAGTCCTTCCTCTCCTAAAAATCCTTACTCTAAGGGCAAGGAACGGGTTAGGGTCTGTTCTATGATCCATTAATTCAAGCATCACAAAAAATTCAATATTATGAAGTGGGGGAAGAAGGGATTCTTGATAAGCCTTAAATCTCAGTACTGAAAAAAATGTTATATATAACCAGTCATTCATTTTCCAAATCCATTAGCAAACTGAGATCTTATAACAGCAGGAGGGCTTACCCACTTATTTATATTTATTTTTTTGACCTTTACAATAACAAATTACAGCTCACTTCATTAATCTGGAAGAGTTTGTTTAAAACTATAAATTAGTCTTGGTTAGACCAACTAATTTTAAGATAGAAGATTGCTGTTTCAATGGGTTGGGCAACCAAATTAACTGCAAAAGGTCAGCTGTGGATAATTAGATTTTTACCTGTCCCTGCTTAGGTTGCTGATGCGCTATAGCAACAAATAGAAATAACTCTTGGAGACTCCCTTTTGAAAAACTGAACAACAGCATTTGAAGTAGGGAAAGTTAAGTTTGGACAGCTAAGATTCAGGAATTGTATTAACTTTGATCAACAGAAACTAAAGTACTTTTGTATGTTCACCTAAAACTGGAGATAAGGGGTTTGAGTCAATCAAAGAGGCATGATACAAATTGTGCTTTTTGTGCAAATAGTGCATAGCAAAACTTTTATAATATGAGGAGCTGCAGGAAATAAAGCAGAGGAAAAGGTGCCTTGAGTGAGAGGTAGGAAGTTGTAGAGGTGACTGAACACTGGTAAGAGCTTAAGTTCAAGTCTACATGGTGAAGACCAGGATAGCATCATTTTTTGCTTATTGCAGTTTCACATTTTCACCTACAGGTAGAAGAAATTGCAGAATCATTTTTATAAGTGTGGAGTTGGAGATTAAATGTCATAATGTCATAAGACCTGATTATGATCAAAGTAAAGCTTGTGAGAAAACAAATGGAATGCTTGGGGAATTGTTCAGCATTGAGTATAGAATAAAGACAAGGATGTGAAACATTTTCATAGTTGTTTAATGTATTTGTGGTAAAAATGTAACAAATGGTTATGTTGGCATCGAGGTTTCTTGGCTAGAGACGTAAATGTGTATTATTGGATGCTGATGATGCCTTGTTGTTGGCTGGAAACACAATATTTGAGGTGAATGTCAGGTAGATTGCAAGGTACAGTCTGGAACATGTATGGCTTTGTAGAAAATAACATATCAAAGACAAACACAGCTTTGCCATGTTTGACAGGGAAAATGGAGTGAGCCATTGCAGGTTTTCAATAAATTTTATAAAGAACTAGAGGAAGTGAGTGAACAGCTCCAGAAAACGTTCACTAGAAATAGAAAAGTGGAATGAGAATTTTAAAATGAACTGATTGCTGATAGAGTGGACAGTATTTCAAAAGAAATGAAAGTTGCTGTACGGGAGTGTGTTTATGCCTGCCTTATTTCGGGTAATCAGTGTTCAGTATCTCAGAAAGAACATAAAAGTAAGTTGAATACAATAGGATTGGGATACTTAAGTGTGCATAGTAAAACAAGAAAAGATGGAGTCAAGAATGAATTGGTGTGGACTGAATACCCATAGAAGAAGTACGGTTGACGTGGTTTGTTCATTTAGGAGGAATGAATGAGGATCAGATCACAAATCAAATCACAAATCAATATCTGAAGAAAGAATGAATGGGATGAAAGGAAAGGGAAATAAAAGATGAAATTGAATGGATTTGAAGAGTTGCTCAATCCAAGACGGGTAACAATCTCGAATGTCAACGTTTGAATCAGTATATGTCGGAATGTGGAAAGCAAGGATAGTTTGCAAGAATAGAGAGATGCAGAGCCATACAGTGAATAGGGGTATGTAAATTAGATTTAGATACAATTTCTGTTCTGCCTCTTTTCTCATGTCTTTAATTTCTTTTGTTTACTATTCTTTTCTCCTCTTTGCACATTGCATAATGTGTTGCGTAATGTGCATATACTATTTTAGATTCTCTTGGAAACCAGTAATAAAAATATTACAATCTGATTAATGAGTTTAGGTCTTTAACCTTTGTTCAGTTGCAGAATGCAACCTTCCATTGATTCGGTTGCCTTCCTATCCCTAAGTGAAAACTTTAAGATCCTTTCAGACTTTCAGTAGTAATTTTTCTGCCCTGGGAGAATCAGGCATACAAATATATTATACTGGTAATAAATTGGCTTACTCAGTGCATAATATTTTTCTTCCACAAATAAAATACAATCAGATGCAGATTACAAATGCTAAATAGTCATTATAAAATTTAATTGCTTCAACATTTTCAGTCAACAGTTGTCCTTTTTGGTAATTTGAAGTTATTTTTTTCTGAATATGTTTCAATCATTTATTTGTTCTAGATTATTAATGTAGCATTGGATAAGTGCGCCACTGTGAATCGATCTAGTCTTACCCTTGAAACATGTGATATTAATAACAAGGTAAGTGGAATTATTTTTCATTATTCTTAGAGGCTGAACCCTTTTAAAACGTCTTCAAAATACTGGATATGGTTTAATTTTTAATGTGCTCTTAAGTTCTCTGTCCAGCTGTGATGCTTGTATTATTTTTAGTTGTAAAGGACCTTTAACTACTCTGCAGTCAAAAGGAATCCAGTTCTGTCTGGACAATCCAGTTGTCAGCTTATCCAAACAGAAGGTGTAGAGCAGTGCTTCTCAACCTTGGCAACTTTAAGATGCATGGACTTCAATTCCCAGAATTCCCCAGCTAACATGCTGGCTAGGAAATTGTGGGAATTGATGTCCATACCTCTTAAAATTGCCAGGGTTGAGAAACCAGGGTGTACAGGGTAAGGCAGATTACCGTGAAAGAGTCCTACAAGAACCATTACATAGGCAAAAGGGGCTGAGGTATTTTAGAAGTAGGTAACCTTTAGAAGCTATTCAGGCAGACAATTCCCTAATTCACTGAGCTATAAAGAATAAGAGGAGGAAGTACATCACAATTAGACTTGGAAGAGTCTGTTATTGCCCGTCCCAATTATAATATTCTTAGCCTTCCTGTGGAGTTGATTTCCTGGCCAGATGTACCCAGTGGTGCTGACAGAAGGGGATTACAATGTGGTAGCGATTCATCTGGCTTGCATGCCCAAAATTGAATTGTGGCCAGAATTCCTTCTTCAGATAGGGGCTCCCTTTGAATGGGCTCTGCTTGAGTACTCTGGCCCTTTTCCTACAAGAAACACAGTCAGGCTGCTTGGAGAAAGCTGAGCACAGGCTCCCCACTCGTGATGGCCCCAAGAGGAAATCTAAGAAGATTCACCCTGGAATAGGAGTGAAGTGAAATTAGAGAAGAGCACCCTGATCCTGGCTGGGAGGCCTTGGGAAATGCTCAGGAGTAGGCTAGAGCTGTGAACACAGATCACTGAAGAAAAATCCCTAGTTTAGTGTCAGCAGTTCAGTAAAGACTATCTGCATCCAGACAAAGCAGGATTGTGCCCTCTTTCAGGTTTGCTCATGCTTCCTAGCTTTCTGCACTCGGAAATCAAAACTGTTGCTCTGTTAGCTCTGCCAGGGTTAATAGACACAAGGACCCATGAGGAAAAAAATGGAGAAAATTGAGGGTGGGGGAAGTAGTTGCAATGTTATGGAGAAGGGGGTTAAGAAGCCTTTTTTAATGTGTTTGCTCCAAGAAATTTTTAAAAACGGATTATGAATTATTTCCTAACTTTTTATTTTTTAAGATGGGGCGTTGGAAATACATACCAATTTGTCTCAATATAGGCAAACCTTTAATAAAATTAAAAGACCAGAAATGGTGAGAGCAATAGTATTTCAGATGCAGAAAATAATATGATTTAGATCAGTGGTTCTCAGCCTGTGGGTCAGGACCCCATTTGGGGTCGAACGACCATTTCATGGGAGTCGCCAAACAACGCAGTCCGCCATTTTTTCCCCTTTTCCTTAGCTGTGCTACTCCCTTTTATTCTATTGGCTTTTGAAAGCCAATAGAATAGACTCTCTTGAATAGAGTCTAATTCTATTGGCTTTCAAAAGCCAATAGGAATTGTCCAGGCTGTCTCTGCCCTGCTGAGCCCACCAAAAGTCCCATTCTGCAAACGGTGCTGCACCAGTTGAGTAGTCCTCAACTTACGACCGGTTGAGTAGTCCTCGACTTATGACCGGTTGGGGGTCGCGGCATTAAAAAGGTTGAGAACCACTGATTTAGATCATTTTTCAGATAGCAATATGTGTATTTTGAATCTTATTGTCCCCCTTTCCATATCCAAGTAATATTTTGCACATGCTCTGAATGTGCAACTTCCTTTGTGTTAGGTGAATTAACGGTTGCTTACGTTTTCAATAATAACTTTATTAAAGGAAAGGAACAAATGAAGCAGCGTGTTAGGTCCATTTATAACAAAAACGAACCTGTTAAAGTGAATTTAAAAAAATGTACACTTATTGTTTGAATGACCTACATTTTCCATTTAATACCCCAAACATAGTTTTATGGATTTTCAAAGTAACAACATGAGTAAATGTCGAGAGAGAAAGAGAGGGGGGAAGGGGACGATAAAAATATCAGCCTTTTATTTAATGGGCCATAAGTTTTGAAAATAAGTCTTATGTCTGGCTTTAGCACTGGTCTAACTGAGAAAGGGAATTGTATTATTTATAGTGAACCTTTGGTCAGCATTTGAGTAACCTCTGGGTAGAGCATCTTAGAGCAATCCAGGGCATAGTCACAGAGAATCAACTCTTTAATTCAGAAAACTCTGATTGAATCTTTTATCTTTTCCAATTCTTTTCTCTGTCCAGAACCAAAAATTCAACTACACTTGGCTGAGGCTAATCCAACACGAAGGCTCCTGCGTGGCACTTACTGATGCCGAAGGGACCCTGAGTCTGCACCCTTGCGATAAAAGAAACAATAGCCAGAAATGGTTGCATAAATCACTGGTCGCTTTTCACCCAGAACTCGTAAGTGCAGCTGTTTAGCAAATAACAACCCCTCTCACTGTGGCTAAAGTGGAACCGGTTCAAAACAAAGAGAGCTTGCTACATCATTTCCCTCTGTATGGCAATGATAGACATGCAGACATTTGTCATTCAAGCAAGGAAAGGACTTATGCAAGGTTTACTCTTAGCTATCATTTTGTAGGTAGAGAAGTAACATCAGTGAATATTTAATCTATCATCAGCTCCCTCCATGTGGTCTGGGGCAATGTATACCATTCTTGTTGCACTTAACTCTTCACCACATACCTGATCTGAACATTAGGCTGAAGATTGTGCTTGTTCAGGATCCTCCAGTAGTGATCTTAATGGTTTAGTCAGGATTCGGGCATAGGTCTCTCTATTGCTAACCTCACACTTTTAACTCCAGTATTGCAAATAGAAAGTCTGACTGAAAATCTAAGGACCACCGAGCTAGTATCAAATTTTGTAGAATGAAACCACTGTCAAAAAAACAGAAGGGTTTGGAGCTACACTTGACAGATATTTTAAATTCTAAATTTTATTATTTGCCAGTCGTGGAATTTCTCTCTATGCTTCATTTTTTAGTGAAAAAGTGTAGTAAAAAAAAAAATGGAAACATTTTTGCTGATTACGCTCTTTGTTTAATGCTATTCCATTATATCACTTCCTATTTATTTCAGCAAGGACATGTTCTTTAGGATATCCAAACTGGAATATTGTCATTAAAAAAATTGCCGAACAAAAATATACAACCCACACATTAATAAACACTAAAAGCTCATAGGCAACCATCAGATTTAGATCCTAATCTAATGCCAATATAACTCATAGGTAGCTCACATCAAACACAGATCAGAGAGACTTGTGCATTTTGAAATACCCGCTAATTGACAAGAAAGCTGTGCAGCTTTCTTGTCAACAATATGTAAACAATTTGTCATTTCCTTCTTTTTTAATTCCGAACATAGGTAATGGTGGTGGGTGGGTAATACAAGCCCTACCTTTTTTCCACAGAAGTTATGATGTTGCAGGCATGTACAAAAGGGGCGGAGCTTGAGTTTTTGTGAAGCAAGACTGCTTTCACCATTCTGAATGATTCATCCTTCAGATGAAAGGAGCGGGACTGTGGACGCCTCTGCCAAGTTCCCTGTAATTTCTTCACTAACCCTGCATGGATTTTTAAGACCGGCGAAATTTGGCTAGGACTTGCCATGTGCTATAAATTATTCTGTTACTTTAACCAAATGACCACAAAGGTGTAGTGAAAACAGTGAAGCAGAAAGAAAGAAAACTCCACTAAGTCAGGGGTCTTCAAACTTGGCCCTTTTATGACTTGTGGACTTCAACTCCCAGAATTCCTCAGCCAGGCCCGCTGGCTGAGGAATTCTGGGAGTTGAAGTCCACAAGTCATAAAAGGGCCAAGTTTGAAGACCCCTGCGCTAAGTAATGTCTGTATTATCCAAAATGAGGATTGAGACAAAGGACACCAAAAGAGCAGCCTTACAAAACACTGTGAGATGTTTATTGCATGGGATATGTTCCAGATTCAACATTGATAGTTTTTTTTAAAAAAATAAATAAATCTCATACTGAAAGTAAATGTCTCTATACAAAATGGAGAAACTCTCCCCATCAGATAAAACAGCATTGGTTAGATGAAGTGCAAAAGTTGCTCCTTATATTATAGAGAAGATGACAATATGTGTAGAGGTTATGTGAAGTGATGAGTCGAACAAGGAGAGCTAGGGGCCCCTCCCCACTTTATCATGGAACTCCGTAGACCAATCACATCTTCTCAGGCCATCCTACCGCAAAGGATTGGTGTTGTTGGAGAAAGATTATGAACCTCATGTAATCTGCTTTTAGCTATTAACGGGAAAGGCAGGATAAAAATACAAATAAGAAAAAAAGAGTATAAAACTACAGCAATGAATAAGTTGTTGCAATTGGAGTAAATGTATCCAATTTTGTATTAGGCTGTGTTAAAAGGTCTTTTAAAGAGCCAATGTTTTATTTTATTTTTTTTTATTGAAAATTTTTTAAAAGTTTTACAAAAAACAAAAAAAACAACAACAAAAAATAAAACAACCCTACCCCAAACCCTCCCAAACCACCCCCCCTCCATCCCCCCCCCCCGAGCTTCCCAGAGCTGGATATAGGCTTAATTAAAATTTTAAAAATTCTAGAAAAAATTAATCAACTTATAAGGTTGTTTTATTGAAGTTATTGAAAAATAATCTCATTCGGTTTCCTGTTGCTTTGATACAAATGTGTCAAAGCTGTAGTTGCAACCTTTCAGATATATTTACCTTAGGTGGCATAGAGCATAAACTGCTCATTTAAGATCCAAAAATAGTTTTAGCAAACTGTTCTGATCTGAAAAATGATCTAATGAACATATTTAGAAAAGGAAAAAAATATTTTTTTTATCCTCCATAGTTATAGGACCTAGAAATTGATCTTAATTCTAAGAAAATGCCAAAATAAATTAGAATGATTTTCCTGTATCTAAAATTGGAATGGGGATAGAATATGTCAGTAGAATCTTTTGGTTTTGTGGGGAAGGTCAATTACAGCAATTAGAGAATCTCATCAGTAATCATGTACCTAGTCTTGGTGTAGAGATGCCTTCTATTTATTCCTCCATCAAATAGAATTCCTTAAAAAAGGAAAAGGTATTGTCTTGAAAAGGCTTCCTAAAAGTTTAAGAAATTTTTTCATCCATTTAAGCTATGAAATAGTTTGCCAGTTTCTAATTGTCTTCATATGGAAGATGGATTCTTGCCATCACAAAGATGTTTGGGTGTTTTCCTTCCTTCCTTCCTTCCTTCCTTCCTTCCTTCCTTCCTTCCTTCCTTCCTTCCTTCCTTCCTTCCTTCCTTCCTTCCTTTAGCTAAACCATTAAAAACTAATTAAACACAATTGGATACATACTGCTGCATCCATACAATGTTGAATTAACATCAAACTGAGGCACGCACCTTTATCTGTTGTGGTAAAAGATCAAATTAGTTTTTATGAGAATTTTGGATGTTAAAGGAACAGAATATAAACCTTATGGGAGAAATGCAGCCTAAAGATATCTCCGTCATAGGAAACCAAAATACAGATTTCTTTTATACGAAAGTAATAGCTGTTACTTACAAGGCCCTTTTATGGCTGCTTCTATTGAGAATAAAGAAAAATCAGCAGAGCAGCCTATCCTTTGGGGGTTAGTCATAAGAAACTTCATCTTCATTTTTCTTTGTACGGAAGGGCAAAGAGGAAGGATTTATTGATCAAATGTGTATGCCGCCCATCCTGCCAAAGATAATTCTAGGCAGTTTCCAGATATTGAAAGGTACCTGCTTCCATCTTTCTGGATATAGTAGAGGGAGTCTTCAACTTACAACCATAACTGAGCCCAACATTTCCATGGTTGTTAAGTGAGTTGTGCCCCATTTCACGACTTTTTTTTGCCACAGTTGTTAAATAAATTTCTGCAGTTGTTAAGCAAATCATGCAAGTGTTAAATGAATCTGCTCTCCCCATTGATTTTGCTTGTCAAAAGCCAGCTGGGAAGGTTACCAATGGTGATCCCGTGACCCTGGGATACTGCAACTGTCGTAAATACATGCCAGTTGCCAAGCATCTGAATTTTGATCATGTGACCGTCGGGGATGCTACAATGGTCATAAGAGTGAAAACAAGTCATTTCAATGCCGTTGTAGCTTCAAACAGTCACTAAACAGATGGTTGTAAGTAAGGACAACCTCTAGTGTCAATATTGTGCCTACATCCATGTACACACATGCGACTTGACACAGATAGGAACACTTTGCATCAAGTCTAAGATATGAATCTGATGGGAGAGACACTGAAGTGGGATGCTAAAAAGTTTTTATTTATTTATTTGTAAAGTTTATTGGCCACCCATCTTAACCACGGGGCAATTCTGGGTGGTTTCTTTCCATGCATTCCCAAATTTAATGTATTTAGCCAGAAATGAATGAAATGCTAATGAATTGCTTTCTTTTTGTTCTTATTGCTAGTGTTATATTTTGAATGCTGAAAGGCTCTTCATTACAAAGATCAGCATTTACTTGCATCATGAATCTCTAGATTCTTTAATATTTGTGGCAATGCAGTTTTTTTTCATTTCCTTAACTTTTTCAGCTTTTAAATATCTATTTTTATCAAAGATCCTTCAAATTCATTTCTTAAAGAAGCCTATTTCTTCAGTTGAGAATAGTTACGTTACTACTTAGACACCTAAGTTAGTTGTACCTGAGAATATGATTTTTGCTCATTCAAAACTTTTCATGAATTTATAATTTGATTTTGACAATTAACAAGGCACCCAACCCCCTTTCATTGTGATGTGTCCCCTATTTCATCAGCTGAGTAACATTGCAATCTGAAGAGCAGAATCACCTGCCATTAAATGACCCATTATTGCAAAGGCCACATGGTATGACGTCCTTTGCATAACAATTACCATTTAGATGGGAAGAATTGTCTTTGAATTTTCATAGAATTAGCAAGCTATGCCACACAGAGACTCTAGTCCAGTGGTTCTCAACCTGTGGGTCGGGACCCCATTTGGGGTCGAACGACCATTTCACGGGGGTCGCCAAACCATGCTGTCCGCCATTTTTTTCCCTTTTCCCTAGCTGTCCTATTCCCTCTTATTGGTGGCCACACCCACTTGGGGGTCACCACAACATGGGGAACTGTATTATGGGGTCACGGCATTAGAAAGTTTGAGAACCACTGCTCTAGTCCAAGAACAGATAGATATGTTGTACACTTCCTGTTCTGCTTATAAATGATGTGTGTTGGGAAGCATGGCAGGATTTACTTTGACAAAGCTTTTCTAGCACTAAATCAATGGCTTACTTTTCAGGTTTGTGTGTATAACCCACTGTCACCGTCTTCTCTCTTCTCTTTAGATGGATCACATTGTTTTAGAGCACCTTTCAAGGGCTACATGTTTGGAAATAGATCAATCTCAGAAAGTTCTGAGGGCTAACATTTGTTTTCCAAGCAATACCCATCAGAAGTGGCAATTTGAAAATTACTATGCTAAGTGAAACAGAAGCCAAGCAAGCTATATGTGGGAGCTGCTTAGTAGGCTGATAAGTTCCAGAATGTCAACTCTAGAAATGGGAAGTTCAAAACCAGAAATATTTCTCAGAACCACAATTTAAAAGCAGCATATGGGGAAATCAACAGACGGAGAAAGACACAGCTGGGTTAACGTGGTATCCTTTCAACCAGGGCTGTTACCTCAAAGGAAGCTGGGCAGAAATCTGGCAGGAAAAAAAAGCTCAACAAAAAGGAAGTACTTTGAGTATCTTTTTCCATGACAAAAATTAAACTTAACAACAGAATATTATGCTTGACATTATTATGGAAATTGTTATGAATATTTCAGTTTATTAGTGTTTTCTCTCTCTCTCTTTCTCTCTCTCTCCCTCCCTCCCTCCCTCTCTCTCCCCTTTCTTTCTCAGAAAACTCTTTGGCAGAACTTGTAGTCTTAAATATCTAAAAAACTTTGTTCCAAAAGCACGTACAGAAGGTTGAAAATGTCTTCCAAGTCTAGCAGAAAAAGTCTTATTGTTGTCATTTCCAAGAAAATGCGCTAGAAACTCAGGCTGAAATCACTTGACTGTAGAGTTCAGAAGTAACTTTTTCAGTGACCCTTTCTCCTAGAATTATGGTCACTTCGACACCTTTCAGATCATCCAAGATGGGAAGGAGAAAGACGCTATGTTGAAAACAGAATTGGAGGCCTTAAAATACTTTATTTTGCTTTGAAATTTCTTTTGGGATAACTTACAACTCTGGCTGAGTATTTTGTGTACATTTCCCTCTTGTGACAAGAATTCACATTCCTTCTTTTAGAAAAACTGTGGACATAAAGGTGTGATCCCTTCAGTATGATGACAAGCATGTATTTGGCGGGAGGAGTGGGCAAAATGATAGAACTCATGAAGTAGAGCTTATAGAGTGTTATCTGAAACAGCATACCTTCATATATGTCAATGATGTGATTCATTTCACCAGGCATGAAAAATTAAAAAACCATGTAAACTCACATTGGGTAATTCCTCCAGCAGCAGTTTGTATTGTTATCATAAGGCACTCCTGGATGGAAGAATTTGTCATGCATTTACTATTTGCTATCAAATTTTGAATTTAAGTGTAATGATCCTGACAGCATGAAGAGCCAGATGCTTATAGCCTCCAAACACAGAGAGATTCAAGCATTGCCACATGCCTGCAACACTTTGGGGTCATAGAAACATTTTTCAGAAGACTGCTGGATTTGCACTTTGGAACTTGGCATCATATAAGTTAATATAAGTTAATATTTTAGAGATTTTTCACAATCTACAAGATCGTAGGACTGGGATGTTCCTGGTGTAAAACTCAGTGAACATCTCCGAAAAAGATGTTACTTAAGAATAGAACTCATTGGGTCCCATCACTCTCGGCACAATCCCCTGAAACAGACAGATACTTAGCACTTAACAGAAAATAATCTTTCCAAAAGCATAATCAAATTTCACACATATCCCAGTATCTTGAAATAGTTTGTTATCTTCTAAAAAGACAGATACTTGTGTTTTTCATATGTCAATATGTGAACTTAACGTTTTTTGATGATGGGAGAAACACCATTGAATTATCCACCTACTATCTGAAGTCACACTGCCCAACGGTATAATGAAATTATTTATACAGTATATAATTGCACACTATAAATATACTTCTCTATGCATTCTGCGTACTTGTGCATAGCACAAGGGGACTGTGCCCTGGCTTGCAACCACTTTATCTCTAGCTATTTGTATTTAGTGAAAAGAAACTCCTAGAAACTCCTAATTAAGGACCTAGAGCCAATTTGGTTTAGTGGTTAAGGCACCAAGCTAGAAAGCAGGGAGACCATGAGTTCAAATCCCATCAAAGCTGTGAAAGCCAGCTGGGTGATTTTTGACTAGTCACTCACTCTCTGCCCAACTCACCTCACAAGGTTGTTGTAGGAAAAATAGGATGAAGATGATGTGTTGGGATGTTTTCCCTACCTTAAGTTGTTTGTAAAAATAATGGATACAAATAAAATATAGGCTTCCCCATTAGGTGGATGCCTGACATTATAGCACATTCCATTTAAACAATATCAAAAATGTGTGTTTCTCAGGAATTGACGGTTCTGAGGAATTCTGGTCCTGCTTCCCTACATCCTCTTAGTTGGTTGTGGCTTGAGAGTGGTGCCCACTGTTAAATTAGGCTGTTATTTGACAGGACCAAGACGTTTAACAATAATACTCTAAAGATATTTTTTTAAGAGCAGTGAACACTGGTAACTCTGGAGTTAATTTGCTGCTTATCAGCATAAGAATTCTTATGGTTGTGAATTGCTCTGGAGCAAAAGATTTAAAATCCACATCTTGTGTCTCAGAACATTATGCTAACATTATTGTATGTTTTTGTAATATAAGCTTAGAAGGCAGCCAAGCTTTCATCAGCCATCATATTTACAGCTGGTTACAAGATTATTTGGTGTCCAAGAGGGTCTCTATATAATATCACATAATGCTGACAATGCTTGGCGAAGCAAAGTTGCCAAAATATTGATTTGCCTAGCAGACATCCCAGTTTCATTCCCAACTGTCTTTCTGATTTCCTTTGAATATCATTTAGTATTGCTACCCTGCGGGCACTATCAAAAAAATTACACAGATGTTGTCTGTGATCTCATGATCACATTAAAACATTAATTTCATTACATTTCGTGTGCTGATATTCTATCCTTCATTTAGCCAACTAGAGAGGCTGTACGTAACAGTCACATTGTATTTCGCACTAGTCCCAATGCATTTTCACTCTTCATTTTCCGAAATGTCCGTTTCAGCGATGGTTTAATTTAGGCTTTAAAAATAATACTGTATTCTCTGTGCAGTGTGGAGAACAAAGCAGCATAAGAAAAAAAATGCAATATTGTATCCAGTTTTTCTTGCAGGAAACAGATATCCTGGGCTCAATATCCGAATAAAAATTTGAAGTCCGGGATATAAGAATGAGCACCTGTGAAATTCCCTTCATTCCAAAGCAGAGTATCTGATACAATTAGTATTCGCAAGCTTTAAAAAAAAAAATATGGCACAAATATTCCTTTACAATCAATTGTGATTTCTTGTTTTCATTCTTTAACAAGCAGTTACGTTGGCCTATTTCCCTACAGTTTGCAACCATATGTTATCTTTTTTGCTTACTGGTGAAAATTACAAAAAAATGCATTCCAAAAACAAACCAGGCTTAGAAAGTTGATGCCACACTTTTGGAAAAGATGCCAAATCCAATGGATGTCACTATGAAGCAGTGTAGAAGAGGACAGAAAGAATCTTCCCTCATTCTCTCACCCTGATTACTGGGTTCATATCTGGAAATAAAGAGAAGTAAGCCCCTCATCCTTACATTAGCTCTGAGTTGGTATTTACTTTGCCTCCTTAGCTTCTGTGTCTTGCAGCTCTTTGTGTAATTGTTTTCAGAATCAAGCCAAGATATAGATGTGCTCTAGGACAGGGGTCTTCAAACTTGGCCCTTTTATGACTTGTGGACTTTAACTCCCAGATTCCTCAGCCAGCGTGCCTGGCTGAGGAATTCTGGGAGTTGAAGTCCACAAGTCATAAAAGGGCCAAGTTTGAAAACCTGTGCTCTAGGATTTGGTTCTGCCTGCTTTGGTCTCTTACACAAAAGTTTCAAATACAGTTGACTATTCTTTTTTTTACTGTTTGAATTTATCCAATCCATTTCTTAGCTCTAAAAAAAAATTGCACAATGCAATTTCGATATTTCTTACATTTTTTCCCTTACAAAATAGATTGATGAACAAATATCAGTCTCATGTCCGTACCTCATGTTCACCGTAATTTAAGATCCTGGCACTGAACGTCTAAAAATATCTAAAGAAGCCATGTTAAATTGGTTTAATAATGTTAATAAATTGCCAATGCAGCCTGCCATCACTTTTCCCTTTCTGTAAAGTCCAATGAAACTGAACTGTGTGCTTGTGGTGATTTTTGCATTTATGAATGAAATGTCCATTAAAGATAGAAAGACTGACAGCCGAAAAAGATTTAGTGGTCCATCCTGTCTGTATGGATAACTTCTGTATTTGGTACAGCATTGATACATCATAACAGCAGCAAGCCTAGGTGAAAAGCTGGTCCTTCCATATTGATCTGTAGAACATGTGACAAACATGGACATCTTTAACATCTCTCCAAGATAGGTATCAACTCTGAAATGTGAATAATCTCAAGTTTCACCTATAAACCTAAATTTAGATAAAGCTTCACTGGAACGATTGCAAATTCTCTGCAATTAATTTCTCTTTGTTATCAAAGCACAATCTTGGTTTTGCCTAAGAACAAAAACAAAATCCATGTGGACCTGGCAAATGAGTTTACAGAGCTCTCTAGATACCTGAACAGCAGCTACTTGTGCAATAAGGGAACATGTTGCATTACTGCACTTTGATGTATTACCAAGTCTCGGATCAAAAGGTCATTTATTGAAAATATGGACCGTACTATTAAATCAAAATTTATTACTCATGATGATGAAGGTGTTGATACTGATGCAACCGTTCCCTTTTTCACTGATCCTGGGAATTCAAAATGAATCCCTAATACCTATTTCAGGGAGCCTTAAATGTTACCATGTTGGCTTCATGCCACACACTAATCTAATATATTGTTTGTTTCATCTTTGAATGTATACATTTATGCACCTAGCAATTGTGACTTCTTCAGTAAACTGTTTTAGGCAGACTTCCGTATTTTGTGAAACATCTGTGTCTGAAACAGCAAAAAGCACGAACGTTAGGGATCAATGTATGAACTTTGTCACTATTTTTATATGAAATATAATTTGTTCTGGTTGTATATTATGCTCCTGATGTTAAAATTGTTTCAGTTTAATAGCTGCTCTTTTTTATAGCTGAATTACCATCCAGAGAAGAACTAATATTTTCTTTGGTGAATTTAAGTATATTATTGTGATGATTTGGATACAGATTCGTATACAGGCTCCTCCCATCATTGCTGGATTTCATTATTGGATTTGATTCTTACTCATGCTTAGGTAGATTTTATTAAAATCACTAGGATTTGTAAATCCTTGTAAATCATTCCGTGATTTAAATATCTGAACTAACAAGACGTGCCTTAATGTGCAGTCCCTTATGACTTACTTTGGAATAAGTTTCACTAAACTCTCCGGAAATTATTGCAGGATAGATAGATAGATAGATAGATAGATAGATAGATAGATAGATAGATAAGATTATTTTTTCAAACTGGAGCGCATATCATTTAGATAAGATGTTCCTTCCTTGGTGCTGTTTGTTGATAATGTTTGACATAAAATTTTAATTTTGAAAATAATATTAAATACCAAAATTGTTATATAAAAATGGTTTGTGTGTTTTAATAAATTCTTACTGCCTCCCCATCTTAATTTTGCAGCACCATGGATATTTAGTTGTTTCTCAGATGTAGCTCAGCATCTGAACTGCAATATTTTTCTCATCAATGATTGCATGGCTGAGAGTTTGATAACGGTCAAATAGGTTTCTTGAATACTGTATACCAGTGATGGCGAACCTTTTAGAGACCGAGTGCCCAAAAACTGGCCCTGCCACCCCCCTGCCCCGCCCTGCTCTGCCCCCCATCCCCCACCCCGCCTGCCCACAGGACCACTCATCGTCTCCAGGGCCTGCTGCAGATCGCCCAGGCAGCCCAGCAGCACTATGGTGGCCACACCCTCTGCCCGCACCCTGCAGCATCAACTGCATGATGGGGTGTGAGGGCAGAGTCTTGTCTACGCTGCCTGGCTACCATGTCCTTGGCTGCGCTGCTCCATGTGGGCCATGCTCGGTGGCGACTCTCCTTCAGGGGGGCTGCTGGAGAGGGGGTCAGGGTAGGCAATGGCACGTGTGCCCACAGAGAGGGCTCCGAGTGCCGTCTCTGGCACCTTGCCATAAGTTCGCCACCACTGCTGTATACCTTTGCGATGTTTGGCTCCCTAAAATGTTTGGGCAAAGGATGAAATTCAGGAAAGATCAAAACATTCCATTAAAATACTTTGTATGTTATTTGAAGCACATGGCTGGCTCATACCAGTAGTTAAGTGATTGTCCACTAGGACGATCCCTCACTGCTGTTGAGCCAGGTGTTACCTATTCAGTACCTGTGCACTTGAGTCCTTGTCTCTTTCTGCTTTCTTCTCTAGTGGAATACAAAACTCACATTAAAATAATGATCACTGATTGTGTATAAAGCAAGTGACCATTCTTCTGGATCTGGTTCTGTAACACTACCAATTTTGTGTGTGGAATCAACAGGGGCAGCTACTAAGCAGCTTACAGCTGATGTCACCCAGATTTTTTTATTTCTTCAACTCAACTGCAGTTTTTTTTTTTTTGTAAGCAAATTTAAAACACCCCCAAATTGTGCCTTGATTGTGAGACTTTTACCGAGGGCATTTATTGAAACAAAAGCTCACCAAAGCTGCTGAAGTCTATAAGCTTATTTGAGACTAAAATATTTGCACTAGAATATATGGAAAGTAACCAGGAAAACCAATAACTCCAGCTTAAGTATTTGTTTACAGGGGTGGATGATGGGAACAACTTACCAGATTTCAGAAGGAAAAGATATTTGTACCAATCTTGACCATTTTGAAAGCTATTCTTGGAAGGAAATTCTCTGCAACAAAATTCAGATCTTAAGAATCTTGCTATGTGCTGTTGCAATGTGTATGTGTGTGAGGGGGGATTGTATGTAACAATGCATATATATGTTCAGCTTTTTCATTATGCAACAAATAAAAACGAAATAAAATAAAAACTAGTGAATGTAGCTGGGATAAAAAGATGTTTACTTCACAAGTTTGGAGAGCAAAGTAGATTCTTAATTCAGTTTATTTCTTCCCAAATATTAATTTCAATAAATCTGTGCACGCACACACACATTTTTATTTCACACAAAGTAATCAATGTGTGCTCAGAATGAAGATGAAATGTTGACTGAATTCTTAGCATTTGTCTGGAGACAAGGATCATAAACAGAAGCCTACTATTTGCAAATATATCCTCTGGGGTCATACAGACTAATGGGGCGAATAAACAACTTGCCTTGGTACAATGAGGTTAGTGTTTAGTATGTACAATACTGTCATTTTATTTATTTAAACAATGAAGAAGTGATTTGTATGATGAACAAAAATAAATTCCAAAACGTGAAAAATAAACCCAACACATTATTTCATTTCTAAACTTTAGTGGCATTGTAACAGCTCCATCCCCGCACCATTTCACTTTTCCTAGTTTATTTTTATTACCCCTGATGTTCAGTTAAGTCAAGTGCAAAAGAAATTTAATAAAAATGATAAAGACCCCACTGGGCAGGGGCAACTGCAGGGCAGTGGTGCCCTTAGCAGTATCAAAACAAAAGTCAAAACTCAGGCAATCAAAGACCCACTTTGCAGACGGTGCAAAGGATGTTCAAAACAAATGGGGCTTCCATTGCCCAGATGTCCCTGCCACGTAGATGTTGACCACTCCTCATGGATGCCCCTGATGCTGTGCTTATTCATCATAAGTGAGACCTGCAAATGTAATGAAGTATTAAATGTACTATATGCACAGTCTGAAGTAGATGCCTTTCTATTCTGGATGGGAAGCTAATATATGCGACCCCTTCGAGGACCACGTACACAACACCAAAAAGAAACAAGCATAATGCTGATAAACAGATTTGAATAAATGTGTGTGATCCAATTTATGCATCTAAATGCAAATTTAGATATAATTTAAATAGAAAGCTAGACAATTCACAGAACCAAAGATTGTGTCCAGATTTGTGTTGGCTGCCCATTCTACTAACAGAACCCTTCTTAAGTTGGACTTTGACTGAGCACCTTTTCCTGTGAAAATGAGTTGGCATAGACGGTTGTCCTTTGATTGTGCTTCCAATGGCTAAGGAAACCTGCAGTCAGGAGGCAGAACAAAACAAGTTGAAAGGAATTCCAGGAACAGACAGTTGCAGTACAGGTCTTTTGTACAGGTCTTTTGCAGCTGAAAGCTGTGAACAAGAGTGTTGTTGCCCAGCTATGCCCAGTCTTTCAAATGCAACCCTTTCTGGAGTGTGAAGCCTTAGTGAAGGCAACTCACACCTATATCACCTTGAGACTGAATGGCTGCAACATGATATACACAAGGCTGCAAATAAGGTAAGAGCCGTTGTGGTGTAGTCATTTGAATGCAGTATTGCAGGCTGATTCTGCCCCCTGCCAACAGTTCGATTCTCACTGGCTCAAGGTTGACTCAGCCTTCAAGGTCATTAAAATGAGGACCCAGATGGATGGGAGCAATAGGCTGACTTTGTAAACCGCTTAGAGAGGTATATAAGTTTAAGTGCTATTGCTATTGCTGTTATCTGGAAACTGCAATTGAGAATTTTGGCAATCTGGTTCAGTATTGTGATATTTATTTTGTAGACATTACATTGGTTGACTTATAGTCAGAGACCTAATAGCAAAGTGTTGGAATATTTTGTTTACAATAATACCTAAACTAGCATAAGGACTGATAAAAAGTTAAAAGGTTATAATGAGCAGTAGCTCTGTCTGGGTAAATAAGCATGCTGGAAAAGTTGCCTGAAAATAAAATTAAAGACGTAGGGGTTATTGTTTACAGTAGCCATTGCAGCGAACCATAAATAAGAGGGGGGGACTGCATATAAGGGGTCCTTGCTAAGAAATCTTAATTGATTAGCTAATGCCTTATACACTCATTATTAATGATTGGCCTAAATGTTTGAATTAGAAATGTATAAGAGGTGGGGAGGAATGACTTGATGTGACTACCATTTATCTCTGTATACTTGCTGATTTTGGCTTTGCTGTAACAATTTCCTGATCTGTCCACAAGTGTCTTCCTGCATTTGTTGTAGCCCAACATGGGAACAAACTTAATTTTGATCACACAACTACAGGGTCACTGCAACGGCCATAACTTTGAAGACTGGTCATAGTTACAGGCTTATGTTCAGAGTCAGAAGCCTGAACTGCCAGATGGGCAGTCAATAAATTTGATAATAAATGATTAAATAAATTTGATAAATGATAGACAGTCAGACACAGATAGATAGAAAGATATGGCTTAGGATTAACAAATAGTCATTGGTAAGCAAGGATTATCTGTGTAATTATATTTTGCCATCGAGTGATCATCTGGATTTTTGCAGCCTAGATCTGGTAGCCCTAAAATGAGAGCGAAGCATGGCTCCCACAATTTCATCACACCATTTTATAAAAAGAGTCACTTAAAGTAACAAATCCTGCTAAAAACTTTATCAAACAACCAACAGTCTTACATTCAACTCTACAAAATAACTTTAATTACATAATATCTTCTCCCTCTTCCCCCCCCCATGACTGCAGATCTTAAGGAATCAGTTCACAGATCACATTAAATCATGATATTTTAATCATGGTCTGTTGAGATACATCTATTTTGCTAAATCAAAAACTAAAACCATATGGTGGCTTCTGATCCGTTAGTCCAGTGTTTCTCAACCTTGACAATTTTAAAGCATGTGGACTTCAACTCCCAGAATTCCACAGCCAGCATTGCTGGCTGTGGAATTCTGGGAGTTGAAGTCCACATGCCTTAAAATTGTCAAGGTTGAGAAACACTGTATTAGTCTGTTGAATACCTTCAGAAGGTAGACATGGAAACTGGCATTCACAATTTCCCTTCATTTCTCAAATGGTTGAAATAGAGACATAACTGTTATGCACATCTACTTGCTTGGAGTGGTTATCTTAGGAAAGCCATTTCATGGTCATCTGTATTTGGGGGGAAACCATATAAGGTGCCCCAAGTTCTCCAAAGGTGATTTCATGATTTTAAGCGGCCACCCATTTTATTTTATCAGGGATTTGCAGAACTTGAAGCTTTTGAAGACCCTTTCACCTGTATCTGCATCACTGCTTGATCCATATCTTCAAAGCATATGATCTTCATCGGTTTAATAAACATTATCATTCAATGCATTTACACTGTTTCTCCACAATTTATTTCCTGAAAAAGTGCAGCAGGTTTCAATGTTTCTTCAGATGCATTTCATTCCAAACCAAACAAATTACAGGAGAAAGATGATTTCCTTGTTTGTGAGATGAACCAACTGAGATTAATGTTTTAAACACAGAGCCTCTTGCCCTACCCGCTATCCAGCTGCAGGCTCTGCTGACTCTTATCTCATTGGTTCCCTAGATGGCATTTTTTTGCCCAATTCTCCCAAGGTTTTTCCCCATTAGAGTGAAAGAGAATGGCTGATAAATGTACAAGAAGGATCAACTAATCCTATAAAGAGGGTATCTTATAGACAATGTGTGGTTATTCATTTGGAGAAGATTAATTTATTTTTTGATCCTGGAGAAGTTTGTTTTTTTCTTTGCGGTATGGCTTCTTGCAACACACATCTGCACACAGAATTCTGACAAGTGCATGTTATTATTAGGAAGTAGGAATGCCTCAGGATTAGTTTCAGCTGCAGTCAAAACCTATATTAAAAGGGGAAGGAACTTGGGCTTTGCTCAGAGTTTTTGGCTGTCTGCATTATTAATTTTGATTATTCTTATTTTTTGGGGGGAGGAGTTATCTTAAATACCTTCAGATAACACAGCATTGTGTTGATTTTCACTACAGCTGTGAAAAGTACAGAAGCCTTATCCTCTCTTTCATTTGGCTTCTGACATTATAGCCTACAAGAGTGCCTATTAATAAATTTAAATGCAGCATAATCCTACATACTTTTACGTAGAACACACTGTACCTGAAACCAATAAAGTGTCTTCATGGCAAATGTGGACATAATCAAAATATATGTGTGTATATATATATATGTAGGTCTTTGGTTGTTCGAGTTTTCTCTCGTGTAAAATTGGAAGTGTCTTGGCGACATTTCGACGAAGTCCCATTCGTCATCTTCAGGCTGGTGTTTTCAGCTTCGTGCTCGAAGCACGAAGCTGAAAACACCAGCCTGAAGATGACAAATGGGACTTCGTCGAAATGTTGCCAAGACACTTCCAATTTTACGCGAGAGAAAACTCGAACAACCAAAGACCTACATACAAATACCCGCGAAAACCTCAGAAAACGTATATATATATATATATATATATATATATATATATATATATATATATATAAAACCTCAGATACTGTGAACACTATAAAGCCACAAAATGTTGAATATTATATACACAATGCAGCAACACCCCCATGAAGAGGTAGGAGCCACATCAGACGGAGGAAATGGATCGAAATGGAGACTGCAATGTGATGATCGGCGCGACGTGAATGTAACAAACATCGAAGACGAGGAAGAGGGGGTGGAGAGTGTAGGAGGTGATATATGCATAGGACGTGGCCATGAACATATGGGAAGTACAGCGGGGGGGGGGGAAGATGAGAGGAGAATACCCAGCACATGCCCCAATGGGGCGAGAAGGAATAACTGGGAAGACATGGAGGAAACGAATGTCCAAAAAAGGGGGGGGAAGGGATATGCTGAACTTACAAGCCTGTAGCAAGGAGATAGATAACAACATACGTACAAACAAGGAGAGTGGAGGAAGCAGAAGAAATAACGGAGCGTTAACATCAATTAACATCAAGAACATAATCCACACACAGCCCAATCAAGTAGGACCGATGATGAGGTCCAGGAGCCGTGTGCACAAATTGACTAGCACTATAAAGGAGACTCCCATTGACTTGTTTTAAGCCCTGATGATGTCGGCGTTGGCCGATGAAAGCTTGGCATTAGAATAAATATTTCTAGTTTTATATTTTTCCTGGTGTTCGTGTTTGTTTGCTCTTATTATACATATGTGTGTGTGTATATGTGTGTATATATATATATATATATATATATATATATATATATATATATATATATATATATATATATATGTATATATATATATATATATCACATAATTAAAACATTCACACACATATATACATAAATTTATATATTTTTTTCAGTTTTTAAAATCATTAACTGTTTGTATTCTACCCTTCATATGCTGGTCTATGATCATAATAAAGATTTGATTACCAAATGTGGACATGAATATGCCCATTTCCTGGAATGCTTACACTGAGCTAAGAACCATTGTACTTGATGGTACATGTGTATTCCGGTAGGACTGGAGTTGATAGAACCCCGATGAGTCATATTTTCAAAGCAGCCTGTTTTTCTATATTCTGGCTGCCAAATAAGAATTAACTGGATTGCTCTCTTAGAAAGATGCTACTGGACTGAATTAGTCAGTATATGTAATTTATTAAGACTGACATGAAATACTGATGTGATAGGATAGCACTATAGAAAAACTGGCAAAAAAACCCCTTGTTAAAACAGAAGAAAGAATCATGATATACCAAAAATAGACAGAAACATTTTGTTTGAAATGCATCTTTAAAATCAAATTAGGGTAAATTGATCATACTACTGACTTAAACCCTAAAACTGTCATTTTAAAATAGAAGTAGTTACACTGTTTAAGTCTATAACCAATCAAGAATAGAATAGAATAGAATAGAATAGAATAGAATAGAATAGAATAGAATAGAATAGAATAACTTTATTGTCACTTTGAATGTACACTAATCGGCATACATTAAAATGAAATTTCGTTGCCCCAATCCAGCTACAATCAGTTGCACCTAAGTCCACTGAAATCAGCAGGCCACAAGTCAGATCACAAGCTTGTTGCAAGATATGTAGGTATGTACTTGCCATAGTAAGTTACATTACATTGAGTAGGACTTCTTCCAGTTAAGTGTATACGGTATAAGATTGCAATCATGCAGCTTGTCCTTATGTATATATTCATTTAGAAATAAACCTTCATGCAGTCAATGCGGCTAACTCCCAAGTGGCAAGGGAGCCTCTTGTTACACCATTAGTCAGGACTACTATATTTAGTTGGATCGAAGCCACCAAAGACTTTACAATAACATGATATTGTAGATGGAGAAACATCTGGAGTGGAGATATATGGAAGAGAAGAATCCTAGCAAGCCTATTTGGTTCTCTGCCTCAGTTTATGAATGCATCATGGACTCAAATTCATCAATTCTCTGTTTAGTGTTTCCCTTCCGGATCTTCCGATAAGATATTGTGTTGTAACGAGAATAACTGTGCCGAGAGATATCATTTTTTTTCAAGGCACCTGGTTGGTCATCATATTCCTCAGTCTGGGAGGCACAGCTGGGACTGGTAGGAAGGCATTGGATATTATTGTTTTCTTGCCCTTTTTTATGAGAAGCCACACTGTTTTCCTGTTGAGATTCATCAACTGGACCTTCCCAATCTTCTTCTGTTATGCTCTCATTGTCTTCTAACAGCGTTTCTTCTTCAATTGGCTCACTGGTCTCGTTCAGCTGTATCTTTCCTTGTTCCTCCTCTGTTTCTGTAGGGCTATCAATATTTTCATCCGGAAGCTTGGATGGGACACTTTCTTCCCCCTGAAATTCTTTAGTATTTAAAGTGGCAATTTTCTCATGGAGCCCTGTAACAAATAACAACATTCACAATATAGCAGTATGCTAACAAGCCGACAGTGCAAGCTTGTCTGTCTCAACGCATAAGTTAACTAAGATGCCCTCTTAGTAAGGGACTTCAGGATCATCACTTATTCATATTATTAACTTTTGGTGTAGCTTTTTTTTTTAACTTTCAGTCAGCTTTGACTTCTGGCAAATGCTTGGACAAGTTCATGTGGTTTATCTAGGCCAGAGGTCCCCAGCCCTCAGTCCGTGGACCAATACCAGGCTGCAGCATGCCAGCAACCGGTTCGCACAAACAAGCAAAGGCTCTCTCCATGGAACCGGTCCCTGGTGCCCAAAAGGTTGGGGATCTTTGATCTAGGCAGCATGTCTTCTTTCTTGGTCTGAGAAAGAATGATTGGCCCAAAATCACCCCCTACACACAAACCAGCTTTCATGCCTAAGGCTGAATTAGAACATAGTTTCTCCATTCTTGTTCCAGCACCTTAATCATCACACCAAAAATGGCTGTACTGACTGTACTACTGAATTGCTGGAAAAAGTAGCCTTATGTTTCCCATGTCTGTTGGAGTCAATCTCATTCTTGATTAGTTTTATGCCTAGCACGTCCACTAAAGTTTTGTGGTTTTTTTGATTAGTCATTGTCTATGGCAGACACGTCAAACTCACGACGTCATGTGACATCGTGCAACGTATCGGGACTGTTTTGCCATTGCCGGCAATGGAGCGGGCACAGCTTCTATGTGATGCATCTGGCCTGCGGGCCGGCAGTTTGACACCCTTGGTCTATGGGTTCTATATTAAGAGTTCATATCTAACATCCCATTCAGGGATTCCTTTCATTCCTTCATGATGATACCTCTGAATTAGAGATAGACTTCTTTCTCAAACTGTTTGCCTTGCTCTTTGGACACATTTTGACAAGCTTTTTTCAACCTTTGCTTTAATGCAGTGTTTCTCAACCTTGACAATTTTAAGGCATGTGGACTTCAACTCCCAGAATTCCACACCCAGCAATGCTGGCTGTGGAATTCTAGGAGTTGAAGTCCACATGCCTTAAAATTGTCAAGGTTGAGAAACACTGCTTTAATGTGTTGTGTTAATCTGCCTCTGTCTGCCTTACATTATCACCCTGGCAGCAGTTTTCTAAATCTTCCTCTTATTATTTTCAAATAGTTACATTGTAACACATGTACTCATGTCAGTGGAGATGATGAGTACTGAAATCTAATACTTCTGAAGGTCTCCCAAGTTGGATCTGTACTCATCATCTGGATGATGAGTACTGAAATCTAATACTTCTGAAGGTCTCCCAAGTTGGAATGACATACTCAATAGTTGTAAACATGGATCTCTAAAATAACAGCTAATTTCCAACACTACACTTTTGGTTTTATCTGTGTGTATATTCTAGAGAAAACTGGCAGCCACCATTGTCACCAAAGAAATATTAACACCAAAGAAATATTAACAAACTTGCCTAAAAAACCAAGTGGGCCATGATATGGACAATGATTTCTCAGAAGCAATTAAGGACATCTACTATAATAGGTACCTTATCAGTAACATAAATCAATCTCATTTTCTCAGCCTCCCTGACTAATTTATCAAGCAACATAGAAAATCTTTAATAGTGCATATGTGTGTCTTCAAAAGTGGGCCTCATAATTTTGGGGGGTTTTGTAGCTTGTACATATAATTGGTCAGTCAATGTGAAATGTTACATAAATATCTATATCTTCTTGTTCTGACAATATAGTAATCCATGCATAGTTATCTAACCCTTTTATCTCCACTTTCTCATTATTTTTTGTTTGATTCTTTATAAGTGATGAGGAAAGGAATCAATAGGAGATTTTCTCAGGAACCAGAAAAAGATTTTGTGTTTTATTCCCTGATTACCAAGCCAGCAAACACTAACATCTAGGTGTGATTCCCACAAAAATATAATTTTGAAGATAAATACATTGAAGTCTTTTCTGGGGGTGTTCATTCAAAGTCACTTCATAAAAGTTCAGTCTATGAATGTCAGCACTGCAAGAGAGACAGAAATTTGCATCTACTTGTGCCCCTTTGTGTCACTGGATGACTATGGTTTTTGACACGCAGTTAAAGTGGCTCTAAATGATTGGAATGATTTGCCAAGCTTAGTGATGTGAAATGTGAATCCTGGGCACTAATGCAGTGTGAAGGCTGTGAAATCAGACACTGCATTAGTGCCTATGATTCACATTTCACATCACTAAGCTTGGCAAATCATTCCAATCATTTAAAGCCACTTGAACTGTGGAAGCACAAGCCTTCACTGAGCAAATCTAACTCAACCTGATTTGTAAAATGGGAGTTGCACAAGCCTCGTGCATTAAAGCCCATGGGGAAGAAGTGGCATTAAAAGTCTTTTCATTCAGTTGGAGATCATCTTTATGCCAGGATGTACCATACACCTGATAAATTTGAGGAAATCTATGTTTAGAAAGAAGTGTAATCATTTTGGGATAAACAGAACAGTAAAGATACTTAATGCCAGTATCCTGCTAGTTTCAGCTATGTGTTTGATGTGGTAATCCTCACTTTCCTTAATGGAAAGATTGTGAAAAGCCTGAAAATAAACCAGGATTACCTCTAGACATAAACAATCAATAGATGGCAGAGTTTGTTAGTGGCTTATCTAATAAATGGAATCTCAGTCCAGGTTACAGAAAACGCAGGAAGAAAAGAATTGGCTTTTCAAAGAGATTCCACCTTCAGGATCTCACATAAATCCTTGAGAGCTGGAGAGTCCTATCACAATTGCCAAGATTTTATACTCAGCTCATAATTCTTGCATTAACATGTATTGTCAAAGTCTGTATGATTCTTACTTCCTTGATTGTGCCTTCCTCTAAGGGGCTTGACCCTTACTTTATGCCTACATAAAAATGCATAGAGATGAATGACATAAATGGGGAAAATGTACCAATCTGCAGAGCTCTCAAGATAGGCATTGGGTTCATCCATAATGCTAACTCAGAAAGTGTTGAATTTGGGTTAGCCTCTTTTGGTAAGACAGTGAGTGTGCTTTATTTAGCAAATTAAACAAGCCATGGCTTCTGCAGTGTGGGAGCTTCACCAATGTTCTATCTCTGAATGCAATAACACTCTTCCAATCAGAGCTGGTGAAAAATCTAGGCTCATTGTTTATAGTTGAAAAACAGGTGGCAGCCTTAGTTTAGAAGACATTTGTAACAATTCATCTTGTGTGCCAATTGTTCCTGTTGCCAGATCAAGAGGCCCAACACATGATATCTCATGCCTTAGTCATCTCTCAGCTGGATTATTGCTATGTGCTCTACATGGGATTAGCCTTCATTCAACTCTGTGAGCTGTACTGGCTCCCAGTTGGCTTTCAGATGCAATTCAAAGTGCTTGCTGACCCTTATAAAGCCCTATATGATATGGGACCAAAATACTCATGAGCGCATCTGTAGCTGGTCATTATGGTTTCCCCACCAAAATCTGCAGGATTGGCATTCTCTAGGTCCCTTTTATTAGGAAATATCACGTGGGACTTAGAAGTCAGGCCTTCTTAGTTGTGCTGCCTGCCTTATGGAACAATGGCCCTCCCTGCCTTCAAGAAATAGGATAGCCTTGACTCTTAAGCAGGTTTTGCTTTTCTGGTCCTTAGGTGGTGGGGTAGGGATAATGGGTGGTAATTGGCCTCTTGATTAGAACATCATTGACTATATATTGAGGTAACAATTCAGATAGAACAGATCTAGAATCTAGGGATTGCACAAATATAGTGAGGATGACTTTTTCCTCTTTGCTCATCCATGAGTTTAATACACATTATTTGTTTGTTTCTTACCAAATATCAGTAGGAAACATGGTGGCAATATGCAAAATAAAACATCTGCTTCTATAAGATTATCTTGTAATACTACAAATTTCTGGTAAGGAACATGTCTTTCAGGCATTCTTAGAAAATTGTTTTAAAAAAACCCTCATACCCATTTGCTTGAAAGGAAGCCATACCAAAGATAAACTGGGAAGAAAAGAGAATTTGGGGGTCCTGGGTGTTGTTTTATGAATGATCATGGCAGCCATTTTGTGAATAAGCAAGCCCTTTTTCCATAACATCCATTTTATGAAAGTACTTATAATATGTTTTAAAAATTACAAATATGTCTCTAATCCAAAAAAATTGCCAGACTTAAATGTGGACTAGATATATGGCTTCTTGTCATTCATGCTTATAGTGAATCAGCTCAATATAAGTCAGCTGATACAAGCTAGCTAGAATTTTCCAACCAACATTTATTGGTTCATTTGGGGCAGGATAGAAATTGATAAAATAAATGAATCTCTCCTGTTTCCTTCAGTATGTTCATTTCTATGTAAATGAACCAAACTATACATTCCTTAATTTCAGGAAAGCAATGGGCATGTGTTTCAAAACACAAGAGGTCAATCACCCAAAGGCTAACTATCTCTTCTCCAACATTCTCCTTATAAGCATTTTCCCATCACAGAGACTGCTTAATCCCCACAATAAAGATTCCCATGTAGGGGCTGGAGAAATATTCCCATCCAAGTTTAATCATGGCTTTAGTAGATCATCTTAACCAAAACTGCAACAACAGACAAGGTTTAACCGTTCTCATGACTGTTTTGATTCCCCCATTCTCACATATCTATCACAGCTATTTCCACTAAGTTTAGGTCTAGCCTCCAGCCCAGGAGAAAACAAAAATGTACACTATTAGTCTATTCCTGTAAGAAGTCTTTCTCAACCTGGATCCATTCAGTTGTGTTGAATTACTAACCCCATATCTCCAGCCGAGCATGGCCATTGCAAAGAGTCCTTGAAATAGTATTGGCTTGAGAGATGCTGTTAGATAGCAAAATTTGGCTTAAGGTGAAATCTTCATACTTCAATGGAGCATAGCTGTAATTAATTTAAATCTGAGGCAGGGTAAACATGTTAAGTAACCTATTAAAATAAACTTGAACCCACTGTCTTTAAATCAGGTTAGATCATGCTGCAATTCACAATATCCATGATGTTTCTTAATTCCAAAAACTAAGTATACTTCTCACCATCTCTGGATTCTTCTTCACAGACTGTTGACTCCTGGCAAATGAGGCAATTTTTTTCTTCATTTTTTCCTTCTGGCTTTCCTTGAAAAGATATAAAGTATAAAAGTGATATTTCCCTAAAAACAGAGGTTAGTGATTATAACTTCCAGTTATTAATTCCTTCATTATACAGTTCAGCTGGAATTCTAAGGGAACTGAAATTACAATTAAACTGTTTTTTTTAAGACTGAGGTCTTGTAAGTAAAGTCAATTAAAATTAATTTTAACGGCAAAATTCAGCCAAAATACAACTCTTTTAAATCAGGCTGCTTTCAAAAGAACATGTGGTACACATGATTACATTTCTTGAATTTGAAATAACTTAGAATTAAAAGTAGTTAGTTTTACTGAGACCTTATCTAAAATAATGGAATGTATTTTAGAATGTTGTTTACATCATTTTTAAAAGCCCAGATTTATTTTTATTATTATTATTATTATTGCATGGCCTTTGCCACCTTGGGTTACTATTTTTCATTCTTAAAAAAATGAAACATTCTTTTTTAAAAAAAATAATTTAATTTGAAAAATTAAAACAAAACGCAAATTCATTATCATTTTTTTTTCTAAAGCTACTAGAAAGAACAATTTTGCCAATATAATTTTACCTTGAAGTTCTTTTGCAGCATCTGAAATTTGGTGTACCAAAGACTCTGCCAAATGTTTGGCACCTTCTTGATTTTCTTCTACAAAGGAAGAGCTGGGATTGATCGCTGTAATTTCACATGGAAGTATCTCAGAAGAATTAGCTAGCTGATCAATAATATCAATAACCTGGAGCTGAGGTTTTTCAGAAGACATGTTCCGATTAAATTCAGACATATTGGCCGGAGCTTGGATATCTTCTGTCATGATTAAAGTCGTGTCCAGATGCTTCCTAGCAGATCTGTATCCAGTGGCAATTAAAAAAAATCCTATAATTATTGCAATATTCAAGCCAATTGTTCTGTGTAGGTGTGTTTGTGTGCTGAATAAAGAATGGTTGAAGTATCAACAAGCTTCCCTTCCCTTCACGTTGTCGCAACCAAAATAGAGAATAGATGTGATCTGGATTTGTCCGAGCTCTCACAAGAAGCCAGCCAATCAGTAGCTCTCCTGTCACTTAGCCTTTCTGTTGCATAATAAATGCACTATTTTCAATTTACATAAACAAACAATCTACAAGCAACAGAGCTTTTTGTGCTGGCATGCAAAGCTGAGCTTTCCGCATATCAGCCCCACTGAAATAAGCAGAGATTTTGTCCATCCACTATAAAGCTTCTTTGTCCATTCGCCTTAAAACAAGAGTGTGATTGTCCCAACCTTTTAATCTACACCAAGTGACCACCTTAAGGCACAGTACTGAAGTATAAACAGATTAACATTCCCCAATAGGTTAAATGTTCTGGTTAAACCTTGATATCCTCCTGGATCAGACAAAGAATTCATTTGACATTTGTGAAAGAATAAAAGTGGGCACTGGATAATCTTGCTTGTGACTGCATCACTTTTTGTTTTCAAGACGTATTATTCTGGGTACAGTATACTTTTCTCTCCTGCCCTCTCCCCCATTTTTAACCTGGCATTTTAAAAATTAAATTAAAATAAAGTCTTACATAAGGTAATAATGCTTTTTAAAAATCAATGTATTGAAAAAAGTAGCCACAACGTAAAATTTTGTTATTGATGATGTAAAGGAGACATTTCTAGGATTGTTGAGTCAAGGTAGCAAAATGGAGTTTACCATTTAGCGACGCAACTGTCAAGTAGATCTTGAAGATCTGTCTTCAGTTCTATTTCTCTATACTCTTAAATGTTTCAGTGAGTTGTCTGAACATTTCTGTCATTACAGATCAAGGATGCCACTCAAGTGTCTTTCCTCCATCCCAGGACCTAGTAGTTAATATCAGAGATTGATTTACAGCATTGCTGCACCACAAAACCTCAGATCAGACTCTTAACACTCTACCTTTCCTCATCCAGATTCTAAAGCAGTGGTTCTCAACCTTTTTAATGCTGTGACCCCCAACCAGTTGTAAGTCGAGGACGACTCAACCGGTCGTAAGTCGCGGACTACTCAACTGGTGCAGCACCGTTTGTAGAATGGGACTTTTGGCGGGCTCAGCAGGGCAGAGACAGCCTGGACAATTCCTATTGGCTTTTGAAAGCCAATAGAATTAGACTCTATTCAAGAGAGTCTATTCTATTGGCTTTCAAAAGCCAATAGAATAAAAGGGAGTAGCACAGCTAAGGAAAAGGGGAAAAAAATGGCGGACTGCGTTGTTTGGCAACTCCCATGAAATGGTCGTTCGACCCCCAAATGGGGTCCTGACCCACAGGTTGAGAACCACTGTTCTAAAGACTATTTGGCATAGGTATCTTATACAACAACCGGTAACATTTGCAAGGTGTATGTGTATGGCAGTTCTCCAGATAAACTCCAATGATATGCTACAAGACACTTTTCTGGTGGATATTATTATGTATTTCTAAGGCATTACAACTGCACGCCTCGCTTGTCCTGTCCAGATGCAAAAATTCCCACTAGCAATCTGTCAAGGATGTGAGCATCCAACATTGTCATCTTGCCCCAGTCCATCAGAAGAGCAGCCTTTACCTTTTTTTTTTCTTTTTTCTTGCTTCCCATCAAAAGTGGAATATTCTCATTTCTGCCATCTAGTTCATGAGCTTTAGTGACAGTATGGAATGTTAGAAGTACATATTTTATAAAATTCAGCAAAGGGAAACATTGATCTACTTCTGTAGAAAAAAAACAATTTAAGTTGAATGATATCCCCATTGAAGATGTATGTGTTATATTTTTCCCCCCTTTTCCACAGTCAACCTGATGGGCTCAGTTCCAACACTGGGAAATGGAAGAAAAGCCCAGAAGCTTTAAGTGGTCACTGAGATTCTTCTAATAACTGAATATCTGATCTCTGATGGTCAGTCATCACTGAGAAACAAAGTGGAGGTAGTTAATGAATGCTTTAGCTGTGTGTGCAAATAAAATGTGATAGACCTTGCGCCCAACAACTTTCATGCAGGAGATCTTTTTGTCTGTTGTAAGGAAATGGCATTGCCTGAAAGTCTTACATGTGGCATTGCCTTCCTCTTTACATATCCATGCTCAGCTTGCAATCTGTGACAAGGTTTTCATGTTGTGTTTATTGGTCATGATTTGCTAAGTAAAACCACAGTTGGGATTTACACATAGCGAGCCATGATTTATCAATACCTCCACTGGGTTTATACAACATACTAAGCTCAAGCTATTACATCGGACACTATTGCATCAGATTCAAATGGTGATGACCAAATATAAGATTTTGGTTGCCAACTATACTTGTCTGTTATTGGTCCCAATAAATCCAACTTCCAAGAAAGAGGACATTTTCTACATCTGGCATCCTTTGTACCTGAAGCCTAAGACTCTTCTTATTGGATCCTAATTGTTTTCTAGTTATTTTGCTATTTCAGGTGAAATATTAGATCGGGGGTAGGCAACCTCAGATCTTTTATGACTCCTGGACTTCCACTCCCATAATGCTTGAGCCAGCCATGCTGGCTCAGGAATTCTAGGAGTTGAAGTCCATGAGTCATAAAAGAGCCAAGGTTGCCTACCCCTAGACTAGATAGTGCTTCTTTTTCAGCCACTGTACAGAACTGGACAGCAATTGAATCTTCTTTCAACCTGGATGATGGGATGGTATCCTCCTCTGGATTTGAGATAACAGGTTAGCTTAGAGTCGTGGGACAAGGTAGATACTTGTTTATATATCAACTTGGAAGACCACCCATCTCACTCACAGAGTGACTCTGGGCTGTGTGCAATTAAGCAAATGGGTAAATATGGATATGATGGACAGATCAGAACAACAATGTTCAGGAGGATCAGTTGGGAGTCTTCAGCATCTACTGCTTGAAATTATTGCCTTACTCTGCCTAAGGGCACAGTTCTCTCTGTCTTCAAGCCATTTGGGACATGTTCTTTCTTTGGTGCTGAAACAGGTACAAGACTTGCTAGCAGGGAAATCAGTGTATACATAAATGCAGGGGAAGTGGGTAATTTTCTCTAGACCAGGAGTCAAACTACCATCCCGTGGGCCGGTCGCATCATGTGGAGGCTGCACCCACCCCAGCTCCAGAAATGCGAAAAAAATTGTGATACGTCACAACATGTCACGTGACACAGCAAGTTTTACACCCGTACTCTAGACATTAGAGTGAATTAGTTTTAAGTATAAGTAATGGCCCATTAAGTCTACCTTGACTCCTGTTGACCAGGGGGACAAATTTATGCAGTTTTCCAGAAGTAGTTTGCTATATATTTTTAAATTGAATGATTTGCTAAAAATCAATGAGCAAGACAAGACTAAAATTCAAGGCCTCTTAGTTTCTAAGAAAACTGTATGATATTACCAAAAACTTAGTTCAACCCAGAGGGCATTTACTTTTACCATCATACTACCGTATATGCCGGCGTATTAGGCGACCTGGCGTATAAGACGACCCCGTCTTTGTCGCTGAGCCGCATTCCTAGAACGTCGTCTTATACGCAGGAAACTATCAGTATTTCCGGCGTATAAGACGACTCGGCGTATAAGACGATTCGGCGTATAAGACAACCCCCGTCTTTGGCGCCGAGTTTAGCGCTTCTGGAAGTCGTCTTATACGCCGGCATATACGGTATTTTTTTCCTGGAGTATTATATAGTATATTAAATATCTGACTAAGTCCCATTGGATCCAGACTTAGGACATTATCAAAGACGCTTCTTGAGACTGCAGATCAGGCCTCTGCTTGTAGCCAGCCCTCAGTCTACCACTCAGCAAAACGATGGAAGGCTTCTCCTACATGAAGTATGAAAAGAAGTGCTTTTAGGAGGCAAACTCTGGAATAGCAAAAACCTATCCTTGTAGAAGCACATTAAGAAAGAACCAGCATATTTATCTGAGCTGCAAATAGAGAGAGATAAGAAATTAAGGAATAATTAATATTTTAATTTTAAAAAGCGAGCATTTCCAGGTTTTCTAGGACTGTGTTGCAGCAACACTGCTCTTTTGGTCTTTTGTTCTGAAATTAAAATGGTATTATCCAGCTGGAAGCTAAGGAAATAATCTGTTAGCCATTAAATGTCCTTCTCTGACAGTCTGGTTTCTAGATAGTTCTGCTATTAGCAGCAGCACCTGCTGGTGAAAACAATGCACATTTTCAGTGATGCAGCAGATGGCAGCACTTAGCTTATGTTAGCTCAGTGTTTCTCAACCTTGACAATTTTAAGGCATGTGGACTTCAACTCCCAGAATTCCACAGCCAGCATTGCTGGCTGTGGAATTCTGAGAATTGAAGTCCACATGCCTTAAAATTGTCAAGGTTGAGAAACACTGTGTTAGCTGATATCAAGAAGCTAAACAGAGTTAGACTTGATGGGAAATCCCAGGGCTGTGTAGACTAGTCCAAGAAGTCACCACCAAGTAGGAAGAAAGCACTGTCAACCAACTTCCATACTGTTGCCAAGAAAATTATAAGGACATGTCCATGGAGTCACTTGGAGGCAAGTTTGACTCAAATGATTGCCTTAATTGACTTCTAAGCAAGCAGAACATACATCTGACGCAAATCCACAAAGCATAACTACGTTGAATATTCTGATGTTCCTGCCAATCTGGGATCATCCATTAAGACCCAGCTTTCATCACTGATTAATAAGACAAACAGGCAAATTATTGAATGTTAATGATTGATCAAAACATCTTTGCAACCATTCACAGGCCACATTCAAATAGATGCCTATCAATAGCAGCTGATTCCTACAGTTGCCTTTTTTATCCAGAGATCAAACAGAAGAAGAAGAAAAAAAAATCCTGTTTTCCAGCACATCAAGAAAACCTAACCTCAGGATAAAGGTCAGCTTGCTTGTGAAAATCTAGATGACAAAATGAACAGAGGGTTGTTGTTTTATCTACCAACCTTATGGATTTGGTGTCTCTTCAGAGTACCTTCAGAGAGAAGCATTTGGGAAGACAACCTATAGATCAGGGGTCTTCAAACTTGGCCCTTTTATAACTTGTGGACTTCAACTCCCAGAATTCCTCAGCCAGTGTGCCTGGCTGAGGAATTCTGGGAGTTGAAGTCCACAAGTCATAAAAACAGCCAAGTTTGAAGGCCCCTGCTATAGATTAAAGAACTTGAAGGAAACTGTTTTTCCTCACCTGTTCCTATTTCAGTCAAACGGAATGCATCCCATCTCTAACTTGGAGATATTTTTTAGTATACAAAGGCCTTTGGCTGTTTTATCATTAATAATTGTGCATGTAACATCATAGAACAACTGGAAATAATCTCTTCGATACTGAAGATAATTAAAACCAGCTGGAACCCAAAAGGGTTTTTTTATGATTATTATTCAGAATATCCTCCCTTTTCTTTTCTGTGCCAATTTGTATCTCATTGATATGCTGCTTGGAAGGAGGTAGGGTTTTTTTGGGGGGGGGGGTGGCAGACTGAAGGGAACTAGGCTGTGATCCATTCTCCAAATCCTGTGGCATGTCATTGATTAATTGCTGCATGCCATATGGAAATGTACATAAATACCCTGTTCAGCTTGTCTACCAATTAATCATGCAGTTCAGCAAATGGCTTATCATGTGGTAACCAGTGTGCCGCGTGCTAGAAGGATGCATCTCCACTTAAAATTAATGTTTGTGTATATATTGCCTTCAGTGATGTTTTACTCAGTCAGATCCTGCTTTTTCAGCACCACTTATTCCTCACGTATCTGCTTCCTACAACAAAGAAAACACAGGTGTGTCAAAGAGTTCTCTCCGGTCAGCGGTGGAGCCAAAGGATTGTGGTTTGCATTCACAACTGTGTTGCTCCTGAAGTGCAGTTCATTGTAACTGGTCCCCTTCTCTCTGATTTTAGGAAGGGTATCAAGAAGCACTTCTTTCATTTAGGTTTTGAAGTAAATTTGGGGACAGTTTTTAGCTTGTATAAATGTTTCATGTTCTATTTTTGCAATGATTTCACTGTGTTTTTTATTAATGTGCATTTGTGTTGTGTTGGCCTGGAGGTTGTTGAGTGTGCTTTGTGGTGCTTTGTGAGATAGCTATCTAATAAATATGGTTATCAATTAGAAATGTACAAATTAAGCATTTTTTTCTGTGAACATGTTCCTTTTCAGTCTTAGAAATTGAACCTCAGCAAAACTTCAGCCTATCAATCCAAGGCGTTTTTTTTTTTTTTTTTTTTTGCCTCAAATCACATCGCTTTCCAGATATTAGATCCTGGGAGATGTTTTATGATCAATAATGTTACAAAAAAATGTTTGGCATCATGGCAAATTAAGGCAAATTAAATATCAGTGCAACCACTGAAATGTATAGCAAGGAAGTTAATGATGTAGGATAATAGCTGTCCAGAGTCATTTGATAGTGAGATGGGCAGCAAACAAATAAAATTAGATTTCATATGCTTTTGTATATTTCTTTATACAAAGAAGTTTAAACTGCTGTTCACTTGTCGTTCCCCTTTGATTTTCTCTCATTTTCTCAGTGCATAATTACTTTCAGTCTTGTTTCTTTCTCAAAGAGTGAAACCTTATGAATATAATGGAAGAATGAATCTTGTGAAGAGTGAAATCTATGAAAGAGGTTATTTGCCTGTTTAACAAATGGCCCAACAAGTAGAATCATTTCATTTTACTCATCTACCGTGCTATCTTTCTTCTCCAATGAGCTCCAGATAGACAAAAATGGCTTTGATAATAGTTATCAACCAGGATTTCTGCTTGTGCATGTATGTGTGTGAATCATGTTTGGTTTGCAAAACCTCTGATGACCAGCAGATGGCAGTAAAGAGTCTTCACTGTCACTTTGCTCCTCTCTAGTGGTTTAGTTGTCCATGCAGTATTTTTATAGCCCAGATACGCAAGCTGGTATAAATCTATTTCAGTGAACAATGGGGAAAAATAGTGATGCCCCCAATAATGTGAATTCATAATTGTGATAGTAGCTATTTCAGAAGTGTGTTTATCTTAATTAGTTAATTAGGAGAGGGGAAAGTCAATACCTTATCCAAAGGAGGATGGAGGAGGATGCTACAGAATGTGATCCTAAATGATAAATATAAAAAGAGCCAATGCTCCAGAGTATAGGGAAGAATGACTAAAGTACCGAAGCAGCCAACGCTTTAATAAGAAAAGCAGATAAAGAACTAATTTTATACACTTAGTTATTGCAGAATAGTTTGTTGGTTTGTAATGGTTGTGCCATTCCAGAGCCTCAAAGCAATAAAGTCAGAAGAAAATAATGCCATCAGATACATTGCAAGACGGAAACAAGAACTGTGGTGATGCAGCTTAAATTCCTGTATTGATCTCTAAATGCTTTCTAGAAAAATTGGGACTTCTGGATGAGAGGAAACCATTCCTGCTACTTCAAAGGAGGGGAGCTGTCAGACCTGCCACAACTTAAACCTCTAAATAGAAATGACCCTTGGCTCCATCAGCTGAGAAAGGTATGGTTTTATTAGAAGTCAAGTGTATTGCAGTAATGCAAAGCCAGAACTGAGAACTATGTGCCAAAATCCCTAAGTTCAACTTTTCCCTCTCTTTGCTGTCTCTCATTGCCCACCCGCGTGTAACCCATCAGGTTGAGGCAAGATATTTTCATAAGTCAGTCCAAGCCTAGTTTGGTATGCAGCTCCCTCCTCCTTCCAGCTGAGTAACCTTGAAGCAGCATCTCGAGGGGATACAGCACTTAGTTTCGTTTCCCCAAGCATTTTCCCCCCCACCGTTCCCCCTCCCTCCCAGTTCATGGCAGTATGTATTGCATTGCAGCAAAGCACAAGCAAGCATAAGGTGGCAGCTGACAGGAGCAGCCCCCAAGAATGCCTGTCTCTATACACGTTCTCATCATAGCTTCAGCATTTGGATGGTGTCTAAGCATCGGAGATGGTTTCCAAGCCCTGAACCACATTTACCCTGGGAAACAAAAAGACAGTCAGTGCATCTCCCGTAACAACAATGTTGTCACATGACAATATTGGGAGTGTCCTGCAAGTACCTGGATAGCTGCCTTTTGTACCAGCAGTAATTCCTGCTTGGTCTTCAAAGCCCAAGCCAGCTCCAAGTCACAGTAAATTGTCACCATCCAATACAAATAAATTAAGTTACTCTTTAACAAAGAATCCCAGGCCAATTTATAAAACCAAATCAGGATGAGGATAGGTGTTTCCCCATCTCTCTGACTTCTTAGGACTAAAACTGAATCATCTCTCAGAATCACTTAGCAATTGCCTAAAAGTGCAACAATCTTGTGCGTGAACTTTTCAATGGAACAAGGCAGGCCCAGGGCTTATTATTGCCACCTGCAGGCCAGCATAACAGATTTCATCTAATCAAAAATTCCACTTAATTAAAACGTCAGCCATTTGTCCCAAAGTTTCATGATGAGGAATGATTTCAATGAAGGAATTTTATCTGAACAAATACATTAAAAATCTGATTTATTTCCATGAAGGCAGTAGAGAAACTCTTTCCTACTATAATGCAGAACACACCTGAAGATTTTGCCAGCCGTTTCCTCCATATCATGAACGTGACCTGACCCACCTGTTCCAATTTTAGGTAAACATCCCTCAAATGATATGACTCAAATGCTTTGGCCCTACTCTTAAAATACTAACTGGTTTTGTTCAATTTTGTTAGTCATAAATCAGGGAGGGCGGTATTTCCAACAGGAGACAAGCACTAAGTTCTTCTTTCAACAGTTCCCATCTTCCACTGCTGTTGTTATTGACCCCTAACTTCCCACTTTATCTGGCCTTTGAACAGACAAAGGATGTCAGTGGCAGAGGCAGCCCTCCTATTGCCCGCTTCATCCATTTCTTTGTTTCTTCCTAAGCTCACCCAAGTCAACATCTGGCAGGCCTAAGTCCAAAGGGCCACAGAATTTAATAATTTCCTCTTACGTCCTCTTGCGTTCATTCAATCACTGTTTTTCTCATTGCAGACTACTTCCCATATCCTCACTGCAAACAGACCACATGTCTAGCAAAGCGCTCGAGAACCTTATTGCAACATCCTCTATGAGGGAAAAACCATCAGCATTAACTTAGGTAACGCAGATAGTCTTTGACTTCAACCATTCATTTAGTGAACAGTCAAAGTTACTGTTGCACTGAGAAAAGTGACTTAAAACCGGTCTTTTTGCATCCTTCCCAACCAATTTCTGACAAGCAGTCGATGGGGAAAGCCAAATTCACTTAACAACCACATGATTTACTCAACAACAATGGCAAAAATGTTAAAAAAAATCAAGTGAAGCTCAGTGAATTATTGCCTTGCTTAGCATTGGAAATTCCGGTCCCAATTGTGCTCATACATTACGTAACACTGAAAGCCCTTATTGCAGGGGTCCCAACCCTTGGTCCACGGATGGTCCGGTCCATGGCTCATTGTGAACTGGGCTGCGCAAGTGGTGGCAAGTGCGCAAAGCTCCATTTGTGCAAGCGGCAGGTTTGCACATGAAACCATCTACTCCCCCCCCCGCCACCATTGCACGATTCGGGACGCATTGGACATTTGAATTCAGCAGAAGCCTTGTTAGGCGAAATGCTCCTGAATGTAAGCAGAGCCTGAAAAGTACATAGTAATTTGATCCCATTGCAAAAGTGAACTACTCGGGATCAAGCTGTCCTGGAGGAAAAATGTGAGCTTAGCTATCAAGAATTGCTAATGGATATTCGCAGCATTTTTAAGTAAAAAGAGATTTATTAGAACAGAGGTCCCGAACCTTTTGGGCACCAGGGACCGGTTCCGTGGAGAGAGATTTTTCCGCGGACCAGAAGGGGCATGGTTTTGTGTCCTGCCTGCATCCTGTGGGTGGGGCTTTCCTTGTTTGTGTGGACCGGTTGTTGGCCAACAGATTGGGGGTTGGGGACTCCTGTATTAGAAAATACATGAGGATACAAGAACCTCACTTCTACCTCGAAGAGATATACAACATGCACAGAATTCTCTTTTGCTTCTTAAACACATTTTCCTCTGACTAACAATTAGATCAAGTGAGAAACGGACATAGGGCAGTATGGGAAGACCTTATCTGTGTGACCCCATTTGCCCCTGTGGACAAAATAGCTTATAGGTGCAAAGAAACAATGGAGCAACCAATCTGAAAACTCTTAGGAATAAAAGTCCATTGTTTTTTCCAGATTTATTGAAATCCTTTTTGTGTCTATTGAGAAATAAATCTCCTAATAAAAATTATTCGGGACAAGGGGGTGGAAAGGGCCAAGTGTTTTTAAGAAAGCTGAGGATGGTATCAAAGAGGCACTGCTGCTTACAATACACACTCAGTTGTGAAGAAGGTTCTCTTGTTAGCCCAATTTTTGCATCTTTCTTTAGCACCACAAAAGACTAAAAATCCCATTCAACAAAGCTTAAGTGGAATGAATGTCTCCCAATATGTGCGAAGATGCATATCATAAAATTTAACATGGGTCAGTGAGGATATCCAAATATTTACCTCTGTCCTGAGGGCATTTATAGATAACCCTCATATTGTGGTTAAACTTGATTTCAAGTGAGACAGCCCTCCCTTATCACTCCAGCAGCCACTTCCTGTTTGTGTTATTGAGCACGTCAGAAAGCTCTGAATATCTTGATTTACAAGTCATGCTATGATGTGAGAAGAATGAAATCTAATTTCCTTGCCAACATTAACTCAGTTTGATGCAAAACATCTATTCTGGACAGGAATAGACTGACAGATCAAGCCAAATATCATTTACTTTGTTCTTTCCCTTTTTTTTCTGTGAACTTTGTATTAAATGAAATTAAAATGGTTTTTTTTTTCGATATATACATGTGGTCCTAAATTCAGAATTTACTTTTCAAAAACATTAAATGTACAATTCCTATGTTCTTTATTTGCTTTTTCATTTGTTTTTTTAAAAAAGATGAGCAAAACATGGAAAAGCAAAAAACTGAAATTAAAAAAAACCAAACAAAAATAGAAACTACACAACAGCAAATATTTTTAAAAACAAAAAATTTTGGAGTAAGCATTAGTATATGTGTAAACATAAGGAGAAATACGAAATCCTAAACATCTGTATTCAATATTTCTATTTTTAAAAATAATTATTTGTTGAGATAGAGGTAGCGAACTCAGGCAGGAATTACTTTGTCAATATAGCTAAAAAGAGAAATCAAATGTAATTAAAACCAGCATAGAGCCTGGTTATCTAAGAAAGAATTTGCCAATCCTGAAAGATTGAGTAGATTAAGCATGTTCCAGGTCCAGTGCTTGAAACACTGTCATCTAACAACAAGAAAGGATATTTTATCATGTACGGTGGATATATTAAAAAGTAGAAAAATGTATACAGATTAATACACTATTCCAGAATATTTTAAAGATTAATGTAGAATTGAAACCAAAGACTTTTCTTTTGAGATTAATAGACAGATAGTTAGAAAAAAAGCCATCTTTTATATTTTTGACAAGTGCAGGAAGATTACTAGATGCTCAAAAGTGGAAAGATTTGACCTTACCAACCACAGAAGAATGCTTGGTGAAGAATTTGCAGATGGCTAAACTGACTCCCTTGATTAGAGAAAAGATAATATCTACATTTATGGCTGACTGGAAACCTCTTACTCTTTGCATGAAACAAAAACAATGCACTTATAACTTGTGGATGGATGATTAGGGGAAAAAATAGATAAAGCAAGCTGTTTTTATAGCCGTAGGGTAAGAGATAACTTTGTAATCATGCTTATATTTGCTGCAAAGGAAACTAGAAGCTGCTGCTTTCTATTTCTTTTTTGTTTTAATTTCTGAAGTTTTGTCTTTTGTCTTTTTCTTTCTTCTGTATTAAAATAAACCCACCAAAACTGCAGCGCTGAATCACTACTTAGCCAAGATAGTGCCAGGTGCACATTGTGAAAAAGTCAGACTTTAAAGAAAGAAAATTGATGACAATTGTGTGCCATTGAGAATATACAGTCATAATGTAGGATCAATGCCAGATTACAGATCAAAGGCATTGTGAAAACTAAAGTAGAAGAATTATGCTTTTAAAATTCCAAAGAAAACAGATTCAAGAGGCTTTCAGAATAAGTTAATATGATAGTCAGAGAAACATGGAGGACAAAACCTATGCCAAAAGAAAAAAAAACAACTAAGATGTACAGTCAGTAATTAAACTCAGATTTATTTATTTTTTCAAGCAAGGAAACTAAGAAAAAGGATCTCAGTCAAGAGTATTAATCAATAACGTCTATGAATAAAAAAAAGAAATGGGTACTGTTTTTAAGAAGATCAGAGAAATTACTGGATCATTAAGTAGGCATATTTAAGAAAAGGAATGTGCAAAATTCATCAATCCAGGAATGGAATGTTCTAGAGAACTCCAGAATGTTCAATTTTTCTCCAGGTCATGTCAAATTTGCTCCCAAACCATATCTGAGGGAGATGGGCAATTTAAAAATAGGAAATATAAATAAATAAAAAATATATAATTGGAGGATGGGGCAATTTGGTGCTTTTTTGCAATAAATTCTCCAAATCAGAAGAGGTTTGAAGCTAAGCCAACTTTGTAATGTCTCACATTGCTTTATATATTTTGCATATCTCTTTTCAAAATAACCATAGAAAGGATCTAACAGAGGCAAATGAAGCTAAAGAAAAAGGCAAAGATATTGTAGAATCTGTTTACAAATAGGAGTATGAAATAACAAAATATTTGCTAAAATAGAATAGCAATAGCACTTAGACTTATATACTGCTCCATAGCTCTCAATCCATCGCTCAGCAACGATGGATGGCTCTTCCTACATGAAGTATGAAAAAAAGTGCGTTTAGGAGGTAAACTCTGGAATAGCAATAGCACTTAGACTTATATATCGCTTCACAATGCTTTACAGTACTCTCTGAGTGGTTTACAGAGTCAGCCTATTGCCCCCAACAATCTGGGTCCTCATTTTACCGACCTCAGAAGGATGGAAGGCTGAGTCAATCTTTAGCCTGTCAGGATCAAGCTCCTGGCTGTAAGCAGAGTTTGCCTGCAAAACTACATTCTAATCACTGCGCTATCTTGGCTCTTGAATATGTATTTAGGGATTTTTTACCATCCTCCTTGAGACTTTGGGCAACCTACAGGATAGGACAAAACATTTAAAAAGGAAAAAAAAAGTCCAACAACTTTGGTTTAATAGACCAAAACACCATACAAGGGGTCCGTCACCCACACTAAACTAGGCCAGGATTTTGATGACAGCTCCACTCTGGCCTGATAGCTATTAATATTGGTGAAGATATTATGCCTCAAACCAACAGATGACCTCTGTAGTGGCTTCATGTAGATAATAAACAGCAGGGGGGAAGGGACTTTGCAGAACCCCACAAAAGAGCAACTACCATTGCCTCCTAAACAAAGACTGGAACTGCCACTTAAAAGGGAATGAAATTGTTCAGTTGCATTGTAGTGTAGTGGGAACAGCGAGGCATTGAAGACACGGAGTTGAAATAATAGCTCTTTATTTAGTTCTCACAGAAGCAAACTCTAGCACAGCAGTTCTCAACCTGTGGGTCGGGACCCCATTTGGGTCGAATGACCATTTCACGGGGGTCGCCAAGCAACGCAGTCTGCCATTTTTCCCCCCTTTTCCTTAGCTGTGCTACTCCCTTTTATTCTATTGGCTTTGGAAAGCCAATAGAATAGACTCTCTTGAATAGGGTCTAATTCTATTGGCTTTCAAAAGCCAATAGGAATTGTCCAGCCTGTCTCTGCCCTGCTGAGCCCGCCAAAAGTCCCATTCTGCAAATGGGGCTGCACCAGTTGAGTAGTCCTCGACTTACGACCGGTTGAGTAGTCCTCGACTTACGACCGGTTGGGGGTCGCGGCATTAAAAAGGTTGAGAACCACTGCTCTAGCAGCTGCTTGACTCATATTTATATGGACCGCCACTAGGCGGCGGCCAATCAGTTTAAAGTACTCATTCCCACCTAAAACAAAGGCTTAAAGTTATACAGACAAACAGTCTATAATTCAACAACCAGTTAACCGTTTTTATAACAGACCTTATGAGTTAGCTAAATATATAACATGCATATAATTGCTTGTTAGGCCATCAGGCTAGGAAGTCTCACCTTTCTTTTTTTTCCACATTGCTCAGAGAAAATAAATCAGGATACCTAATGCTTAAATAATTGGGAGGGAGGGGTAAATTTTCAGGGAAAGGGTGGTCATGCTGCTCTTCTTTTTCAACCTGTATTTCTGTCAGGCTGGAAGCCATACAAGTAGCATGGGTCTTTATTTATTCAGGGACTTTTTTTCAGAAAGAACTTCTGGCAGTTTAAAGTTTTCACGTCATCAGCGTGAAAACTGCAAAGCCAAAGTTACTGTGGCAATGGCTGGTGTATAGCAACACCAGAGAAAACCACTTCCTCTCTCTCCTGCTATGCAGAGAAACAGGCAAATTACCCACCTAAGTAATGTTAGCATTGTAAACAAGCAGGGCCTGCAGATCAGCTTCAGATTCATGTTGCGAGGGTGGATTGTGCTTGAGAACTGTTTCACATGTCAACCGCACGACAAAAATATTGCAAATCCCAGAAGCTCTGCACACCCTAATGTTGTCACAAAGAAGCAAGAAGAGATACGGTGGGACTGCTCCCCAACACTCTCTTGTCCTCTTCTTGACAAGTTTCCCACCTCTTCTTCACACACTCTAACACGAACCATCACTAAAATTTGCTTCTTGTGGAGGTTTCCCTCTTATTTAAGCACAAATAAAATGTCTTTAATTCCCTCAGGTATTTGCATATTAGGTTTCTCTGCTCTTCATTGCCAGTAATTCTGTCTCCTTTTCATATGTCAGTGTCTAACTCAAACCTGGAATGTGTTTGGTAAAGAATAATCTAGAAGTAACATTTTCAATCATGGTCTTGGCATCAGTACATGTAGAAGGCCTCTTATGAGGTTTCCCACCCACATCCACCAATAAAAGTTGAATGCTTTAAAAAAAAAAATTACCTCAGTAACTGATTGGCCTAAATGTCTGTGGAGATTCTCAGTCATCCAGATCATGGATATCTATGTCCTCAGTGTCACCTATGGCCTTTGTCTTTTAAATGCAGATACACTGCTGAATCTTGTCCTGATGGGTTTGTTCTCATGGCACAACATAGGAGAACAAACCCATCAGGACAAGAGTGCCATCTGCATTTAAAAGACAAAGGCCATTCTTCTGAAGGCAGCAAAGTCCACATTTTGAACAGACAGGGCCGCTAGTTTGAAAGAGGGGCCAAAGAAGCCATTATATCAAAATTGCACAGCCCTCTCTCAACAGAGGGGGAGGGATATGACATCATCTATCTCCTGTCTACAGCACAGTTCTTTCTGCAGTTCCAAGAAGGCTCCAAACCCATTTGCACAACTTAGGTGTCCCTGATGATACAGATAAACTCCCCTAAACTCTACTAAAGATGTTACCTAGCCTGGTAATGAAAGGTTCAGAAACCAGCCCACAAGCTCGGAGAACAAATCTTCACCCTCACATAGATAAACCTCCAAGTGGCCTCAATGACTCTCTAAAAGAATGCAAATGACCAGCTGTCTGCAAGGAATATAAATCCTTCCATTCCCCACCATCCAGTCAGAGCTGAATAAGTTTTTTGGATGAGAAGTGAAATGTCTTCAAAGAAAAACAAAAAAGTCCAGTTGCCTCTTGAAAAAGCACCTTTGGGATAACTGATTGGTTCTGATCATACTCTGGGGCTATTTATGCTGCTACTGATGTACTATTTATGACCATGGTTATCTCAGATGCTTATATTATTATATTAGTTTTAGCTAGCTTTATTTTTAAATGCTGTTGGGGAGGTATCTCCAATTCAGGATCTAGATGCTAAAGGGCTCACCTACCATAGTACCTGTCCTACTTGATTTCAACATTTAACTCTCCCCCCCCCCCAAACACACACACACAAACACACACTCCTCCAGACCTAATGTTTTAAAATATGGAAAAGTAGTGTCTTTAATATCATTTTTATTTCCAATAACACCTTAGTGTTTTCTTACTGTCCAATTTGCTTGCTATTTTTCATTTCATTACAGACAACTGGCTACTTGCAGGGTGTCAGGTATGTTTCCTTCCGGGGTTCCCTGTCCTGTCTGATCACGTTGTCCTGGGCTCCTAGCTGTCCCTTTCTAAAGGTACTTCAACCTACGAACCATTTTTTCTTCCCTTTAAAATACATGTGCATGCGTGCGCACGCGCACACACACACACACACACACACACATGAATTTCCCCTTCTAGCGCAAGTGAATGGAAGAAGGATATGGTGGTCTCCCTCCCTCCCTTTCTTTTCCTTCCTTCCTTCCTTCCTTCCTTCCTTCCTTCCTTCCTTCCTTCCTTCCTTCCTTCCTTCCTTCTTTCCTCCCTCCCTCCCTCCCTCTCTCTTTCTTTCTTTTTTTCTTTCTTTCCTGCTCAAAGAAAGGAAAGTGATTATAGCTTGTTTCACAGCCAGGATGGGAGGGGTAAAAAAACCCAGTAAGATCCATTCATTAGAGGACTAAGTAGCCACTGGCCAAAGAGAATAAAGGGCCAGGACTGTGATCAAAGTAGAGAAAGGTACTGAAATCCAAAATCCAGAAAGGGGTTTCATAAGCTGGCTTCATTTCTAGACATTTTACGCACAGGAATCAAGCAGCTTCAGGCTGTACTGCAGAAAAATTCAAGTGTGAAGCATTTTCACTGGAAGTGAAAGTCTCAGCTGCTCTCAAGGTAATAATATACTGGCTGCAACTGCCCCACAAGGTTCCTCTGGAGATTGTGATAAAGAATTACTTTAGCTGATTGACTTGTTTGCATTTATATCAGTTGAGAAGCATGCTTCGTTAAATTAAAGTTTGCTTCAGATACTGTGTTGGAAATGCAAACTGTATGTCCGTTCAGAATCAGTCCCCTAACAGGACCTTCCATGACGAGTAAGGAAATAAGAACCATAAGAAATTTTCTAAGTGGTATTAGCATAGCAGTGTTTATTTTGTTGATTTATGAAAGGGAACATTTTGCCTGGAAAGAAAAAATTATTCCAAAACATCCACTCTCCAAACACTGGACTCTCAGGAAGTTTGCCAGTTCAACCATTTTACCTCAAAGATGGAACTATACAAACACCTTTAAGCAATACAAATCCAAATGTTACCTATTTTATTTTATTTTATTTTTTAAGTTGGCTATTGATATTTGACATTTTATTTTTCAGTCCACTTGACCTGTTCTTTTTTTTTTTTTCCAGCCTTCAATGACAAATCTCCAGTGTTTCCATTTTTCAAGAGTTCACTGGAATTTCAGCATCCATATTAAGGCAACACAGTTCTCAACTAACTCAAACACAAAGCAGTGGCCAATAAATACAAAGTTTGAATGCTTAAAAGACCGATATTCTAACCCATGGGTTTAGTTATTATTCAGACTATATTTACAAAGAGAAAAAGAAGAAGAAGAGGTAGAATCTTTGTACTAAAGCACTTCCTCTTTCAATGCTGAGTTCGTCTGTAATAAGCCGGGGAGTTCACAGAACAGGAAATATCAGTATATAAAAATCTAAAAGCAGTAGCTATTATTGTAATTCAGTATGCTAACAACATTTCCTTTGGGCCTACGCCAGCTTCAGTTCCTCCACAAGAAGTAAGGTGTGGACTCAGTGGTAGGATTCAAATATGTGAACAACCGGTTCTCTGTGTGGATGCTGCTTCCAGAAGTCCATTCTGGGCCTGAGCAACAAAAAAATTAGCTACTGGTTCTGCTGAAGTGGTGCGAACCAGCTGAATCCCAGCACTGTGTGGACTATAGCTAGATGAGTATAGTAGCTTGTCAAGCTGTTTTAATGCTCATCCTTATTGCAATTGGCTTTGTGGTGTTTATATTCTTCCAAACTATTCCAATTATAAAAGTCATTGCATTTCTCTGAACATACTCAGATTTCTGGTACTTCTTCCATGTGATCATAATTTCAAATATATCAGTTGATCACAATATTTTTTTTAAAAAAAATCCTTTTTACCCCTATGGGTGGTCTGTGTCTTTCTCAATCTTGGATCCTGCCCGGGGCCTGGGAGTTTGAGGGATCTTGGCTGTTCCTAGCACTGCCCTCTTCTGGATATTGACGCCGTTCCTGGTATTAGTTGGAATCTCTCTCCCCCCCCCCCTGCTTAGGAGTCAAAGCCCCCAGTGCTCATGTCACTACTGGGATCACTTTGGCCTCTACTTTCCACATCCTCTCTAGCTCCTCCGTATAGGTCCTGGTACTTCTCCAGCTTCCCATAAATCCTTTTTCCTAATGTTGCCCTCACATGCTAGACAGTAGTTAGAATGCCACCTTTGATGTGAGAGACTGGGTATTTTTTTACCAGTATGGGTCCTTGGGCAAAGACCATTTGCTTACCTCAAACATTAGAGTGACACAAACTAGTGACATCAACTAGATTTACAAGGTGTGAGTCAGATGTTGGAGAACCAAGACAATATATATTGTTATTAAAAAATATATATTTTTAAATTGTCTTGCTAGCAATTGAACACTTATAGGTGTACATGAAGTCTTAGTTCCTACAAATTGCTGCTTTCTCATTGTTTCAGGCCTATATTGTAGTGTTACTAGGCAACAACTCTAGTCACCATCTTTCCTGCTTCCCGCCAAAAATCCACAAATAACACCCAAATGTATGTTATCAATCCAATTGTCTAGAAGCTATATCAGAAAAAACCCTCAAAACTATCAATCCAAACTATTTATTTTACTTCCATTGTTTTACTGATTGAGAATATGAAATGCAGGCCTGGTTTGATTTCAAAAATGCAAATTACCATCCAAGGTTTCTGTGAACTATGTCATTCTCAACTTGTTCCATTGTCAGACCCGACTTTCATCCTCTTCCACAGCTCGGTGAAGGCCAGGAATGAAAGTCAGCAGCTTCTTTTGAATACTTCCCTTTCTGCTTTTCCGTGGGAGAGTCCCAAAGATCTTTGAGACGTTATCTCCATTCTTTGAAGGAGATCTACAGATATTGCTAGTCACACTGATACTCCGATGCCTTCTCAGTGACGTCTTCTTCACTTGATTACTACCAGTTGGAAGAAAGCAGTCGTCTTCCGTGCTTGATTGTCGGCTAAAAACCTCCTTAGCGGGGTCTTCGAAAACACTGGATTGGTAAAAACTGTCCTCACTATCCAGGGTCATTGAGCTAAGATGGCTTAAGCAGCTGCTTTCACTGGAAAATCGGGGCTTACAGCCCAATGGAGACTCTAATCCAGCATGATCACCAAATATATTAGGTCCTTCTAATCCTGCAGAATCTGGTAGTGAGCACACTTCTCCTAAAGAGCAAATGGAAGAAAACAAGTATTATATTCTCAGAAATGTTTCTTTGTACCAGAAGAATACCAAAAGTACCATTTGATTACTGTGAAGATACTGGAAGCCTTTACATGTGCAGCAAAAGGTTAGTTTCCAGAGTTCTGTGAGACTTCTTCTATAGGAGTGTGAATGTTGAACAGACAAGAGGGTGACCTGAAAGCCTCCCCATGTTGCTGAGTTACAATCCCCAGCAACCTTTAAGGCTGTTTCCTTGGTAACTACTGGTAAAGTTTTCCTAGTATCACTCAGCCCTGTTAAGGCCTCTTCTCATTGGTGTCATTTTGGCCTAAATCAGTGTTTCTCAACCCTGACCACTTGAAGATGTGTGGACTTCAACTCCCAGCTATGCTGACTGGGGAATTCTGGGAGTTGAAGTTCACACATCTTTTAATGGCCAAGGTTGAGAAACATTGGGCTAAACCCTACTTGGTTAACTTTAGAAGAGACAATAAATTGCTATGATACAGAGCCAGCAAAGTCAATGGTGAAGAATACTGGGAATTGTAGTTTAGATTATCTTCAGTCTCTGGATTGTAAACTATAGTTTAAAAAGTCCAGATTCCAACCTTTTTTCTGCCACTATCCCCTTCCATGAGCTTGACCAAGCTAAACAAATAAAAAAAGTCCAGGGTCACCTTGTAGAGGCAGCATATAAATTTAATAAACAAACAAATAAATAAATCACACACCTATTGGAAGCCCTAAGTGTCAATCAGAACTCAGCAGAGTCCACAGGGGGAAAAATTAACGAAGACAAACTAAAATTAGTTTTGGTTTGTCTTTGTTAATTTTTTTTCTCCTTTGGATTTATTATTTTAATCTTTTGAATGAAATAAAAAAAATATTTTAAAAAAGTCTTCTGCAGCATGATTTTTAAGCCTCTAGAGCACTCCATGCACCCTGACATGAAAAATAGAGATTTTTTTCCAAATCAGCCAGAAAAAGTGATGAGAGTCAGATCGAAAAATTAGCGCTGGTTTATTTAATGCATGTGATGTATCTTTATATTAGCCTACACAAAGGTTTAGTGGGGAAATGACAAGGAACTATAATAAAACTAAGCAATTGATAACTGTCAATAACCATCAGAATGGCAAGATTTAAAAAAAATAATCACTTTAATATCTAATTTTACAACTTTCTCGATGTGGCACACCCACCACAAAGACTACCATAAATGTACGTTTTATAAAAGAAGCTCTTGTTCTTCTTCAGAACTTCCTTCAAACAAAACTGAAACTAAGCAACTTTACAACTATTAACCTAGTTTGCATCATGTCCATGCAGAAATTGGGTGTTACTGCTTCTCACTTCTGCAACAGGATAGTCAGACTTACCGCGAGCAAGGTGCTTTTCTCGTAAGCACAGGGCCTGGAGCTCGGTCAACTTATCTTGCAGAGTTTTCTGTCAAAGGGGAAATGGCACATTGTCATTTGGAAACTACTGTAATGTAACACAGTCTTTATCAGGCAGCGACTCCAGGCTTCAGTTATTTCTCATTGTGAAAAATCTCTCCTGAGGATATCTCAGGACTGGATACAATAATACAGATAATCCTCAACTTACAAACAGTTCATTTAGTGTCCGTTCAAAGTTACAACAGCCCTGGAAAAAGTGACTTATGACTGTTTTTCACACTTAACAACCGTTGCAGCATCCCCAGGGTCACCTGATCAAAATTCAGATGCTTAGTGACTGATTCATATTTATGATGGTTGCCATGTCCTGGGGTCCTGTGATCAGCTTTTGTGAAGCCAGATTCACTTAACAACCATGTTACTGACTTAACAAAGGCAATGATTAACTTAACAACTGTGGCAAGAAAAGCCGTAAAACGGGGCAAAACTCACTTAACAAATGTTTCACTTAGCAACATAAATTTTGGGTTCAATTGTAACTCGAGGACTACCTGTATATGAATTTTTCTTTTGTGTAACTCCAGTTCTAAATTACTTCAATGGAACCTAATAGTTTTCTATCATATCAGTAAATGACTCAATGTTCAGGTAGTCCTCGGCTGATAACCACAGTTGAGTCCAGAATTTCTGTTGCCAAGCAGATGTTAGGTGAGTCATGTCCCAATTTACGATCTTTTTTGCCACGGATGTTAAGCAAATCCCTGAAGTTGTTAAGTGAATTGTGCCATTATTAAGCGAATCCGGCTTTCCCCATTGACTTTGCTTGTCAGAAAATCTCTAGGACGGTTGCAAATGACAGTCCCCAAACCCTGAGAAGCTAAATACACGCCGGTTGCCAAACACCCAAAGTTTGATCACGTAACTGTGGGAAGGTTGCAATGGTCATATATGTAAAAACTGGTTATAAGTCCCTTTTTTCAGTGCCACTGTAAATTTGAATGGTCATTAAATGAATGGTTATAAGTGGGGGACTACTTGTATTGAGAAAGTCACAGTAGAGGCTGCATTTCAAGCATTATTTAGATGTGCAGTTTCTTGGAGACTCAGGGCCACAGCTGCCCTTTGAGTAGTGGGCCGGTTGCTGCCCTCCCAAAAAATTGGAAAGATTTTGGTTAAACACTAATTTGCCTCTTTGGTCCTATTAAAGATCACAACTTGGAGTAGGAAAGCCATCAGCAGGTAAGCAAACCGTTGTAGCACAGTCCAGAAATATCTTAGGATGCAGTTAATTGCAAGGTTTAAATCTGCATTGGGGAACTACTGATGGTCAGGTGGGTGTGGCATCTCATTCAAACTGGTTATCCCAATAGAGGGATAGCAAAGGTAGAAGCAGATCCCATATGCTGCTTCCATAGATTGGGCTTTTCTTACAAATGTTGGAACAGTTCAGTTGTGGAACCTTTGTGGCTTGGATAAAATTGATACCTGGCCTCTCTATTTCAGTGAGCCAAAGCATCACAGTAAGTGGAGAGGATCAAAAGAAATACAAAAGAGCTGACTTGGACTTCCAGTAATATGGTGCAGATAAAAATGGATCACTTTGACTTCTCTATTTTGGGCCCTTTGTTCCCCTAACTTTTTCTTGAACTTTGAGGGCTAGGAATAGAGCAGAAGTGGACAACCTTGTTTCACTTTGTTATTTATTGGATTTATAGCCTGATTTATTTATTTTTTTTACGGGAGAAAAAGGCAGTAGCTTATACTTTCTTCTTCTGTTTTCTTTTCCATAACAAAAGCCCTGTATGGTAGATTGGGTTGAAAGAGAATGAGGCGTTCAACTTCGCTCAGTGAGTTTTCATAGTGGATGGTGGATTTGAATCTGGGTCTTCCTGGTCTTGGTCACATTATCTTAATTATCATAGCACATTTGAATCCTCCATGTACAGTATCGGAGTGCAAACTCTGAGAAAGTTGCCCAGCTCAAAATGGTTCTCCTTTGGCAAGAAGCATGTCCGATTTTATAGAAACAGACCACAGATTTTTTGAGCTAGCTTCAGTGAATATTGCACTTTAAACAAATAATAATAAATAGGTATGTGCCTATAAATTCATTACTTGTTAATAGGTTAAGCTTATATCTGTAGCTATAAAGCAGGGAGAGAAATCCTGGCAAAAACACCAAGTAGATAAGTGAAGGAATTGACTTTGACATCAAGTGTTTTCATTTATGGAGGAATTAACCTGGATATGTATTTTGTTTGTAGACTCTTTCTCTGAATTGCTCACAAAGTTTCACAATAGTCCTGATTCAATGGGGCTGCTTTTGCTGGGATCCAGCTTTGCCTCACTGGGCAGTCCAAGGGGTTCCCTTCATCTTAGAATCTGATTGAAGCCAATACACGTACTTGCTTTCCATTTTACATAGAAATCGTACCTTCATGCAATGCAACTTGGTTTCCAGTTCCATTCTTTTCATAATCAGGGCTTCATTCACAGTATCTAACCTATAAATTCAATTACTGATATCATCATCAGTGTCCAATCAATAATTGCATTACTAATATCATCATCATCACCACTCCCACCACCACCACCACCATCATCATCATCATTTTTATATAATTTTATGACAATACAACCCTAAGAATGCAAGCAAGAGTTGTTTCAGATCAGTCCATTTCAGAAAGATAGCTTATAGAAAGAAATATCATTTAGGGGGCCAAGAAAAGATTTTTCCCTCATAGCCAGCCACAAAGGCCTTCAGAGGCCTTCTAAGAATGATACCAGTGGGGAGGGGAGAGAGTTAGAGCTCCCCTCTATCTGAACTGGGAGATAGTTTAACTAAAAGTTAAACTTTTAGTTCTTTTGACTAATAGTTAAAAGAAATAAGTGCCAGTACTTAAGAAATTAAAGTAGTTGCAAAAGAATGCCACTTAAACAGGCCTCCAAATAGTCAAAGGGAAAAAAAAACAATGAGAAAGATGGTCCATCTCTAGTTGTATCTCAAGAAAAGAATAAGCAGCTGGACTGTCCACTATTTCTGAATTTTGGGAAAACTGTAACTTTAAGTGGCAGAGTGCTATCATTCAATCCTCATCCATTTGTCACAATATATCTCATTCATCCATCAGAAAGTCATCCTGGCCATCTCTCCACCGTGGTATAGTACAAAGATGTGTTTGTTCCCATTTGTAGTGGCTTTCCAATCTAAGGAGAGCAGCCATATCCCTTCCTTAGCATGTGAAAAATTAATGCAATGATCACCACAATCAATAACAAATACATAACAACCTGGAGGCAGGTTGTTCCACTCTGATTAATTGTTCTAACTGTCAGAAAATTTCTCCAACCTAAAACTAAGGAGAAATTTTCTGACAGAACAATTAATCAGTGGAATAACCTGCCTCCAGAAGCTGTGAATGCACCAATACTGGAAGTTTTTAGAAGAGACTGGACAGCCATTTGTCTGTTTCCTGGCTGAGCAGGGGGTTGGACTAGATGACCTCCAAGGTCCCTTCCAACATCATCGTCATCATCATCATCATTATTATTATTATTATTATTATTATTATCATTATCATTATTATTACAAAAATAAGTTCAGACAGCCACCCAAGATTTCTTGGTTACCTTAAAAGATTCCTAGATGATTTAATCATGTCCACCTGTTCTTTGTGACTTAGCCCTTCGGTGCTCACTCCATTGATGTTGATCAAGATGTAACCTGGGACAATTACAAAATGAAATATGTTAAGTGTATTTTGATGTTCATCAATCTTTCTACATCCTCAGATATGTGATCCCTTAAACCATAGGAATGCTAAGACAAGTTACCATGTTGGAGTCCAGTAAGAAATGCTGGGCTTCCTTTTTTCACGTTGCAAATATAAGTGCAAATTTCCATGAAACGATTACTTTGGCACTAAAATGGAAGAATTAAAGAATTAAAGTAAAGAATGAAACAAAAGAATTATTGTTAGAAGAGAAACTCTACCTTGCAGGTTTTGGCCTCAATTCCTAGCTACCATTAGGGCGGCTATCTGTCCCCTTTTTCAAAGAATAGCCTGTTATTTTGGATGGATTCACATGACTTATTGAGAAGCCAACTACATTGTAGCCTGGATGATGGTCAGTTGACTGGTTTATCACACAAATCCAACAGAGGAAGGGGAGTAAATCAATCAGGGATAAGCATGTCATGTGAATTAAGGCTGCTAGAAAATGTCCTCCATTGATAGGATTGTCCAGTCCAAGCCCTTGAAGTTACTCATCATAGTTGGACATTGGGCAACAATTAGAAGACTCAGCAAGCTGATGGCTCCTACCAACCCCTATTTTCTCACTGAGGGCTGGTGTATTTTATTTCAATTTAAATTATTTAAATTTCCATTGATAACATCTATAAAATGATGTCTTAGTCTCTTCATTTTTTGGGTGGTGTGTTTCTTCTTGGCAGTGTGTAAGCAGCGATCCTGAGCTTCTAACATGGTGCCTTAAATCTCTACCAAACTGCCTACGCCCATGGAAAGCTTCACTTGTCAAGTGCAAAAATAAACATTTCCTCTTTTTATCCTTTAAAGAAAAATAACAAGAACAATCAGAGGAAAAAAATAGGTCTGCCCACCCAACAACTGGGCTGTCCTGTTCTTGCATTGCATATGACTGCAGCAATATGATTAGGAGGAAGCTTAGCCCTTGCGCCACAGAAGATCCCCTGCACTATTCCCCAGTGTGAGATTCAACTTTTAGACATGCCATAATGTAAAGGGAAGAAAAAGGGATAGGGGGGTGTTGAAAAATCAACAGGGCAACAGAAATCCCACTTTTAAAAAGGTGCACTGCACAGATTGGTGGCTGTTCTCTTGAGTTGTTTGACCCCAGGCCCTTCACGGACACCCCTGAAAGAGAGGGAGCAAGGACCAGGACCCAGGTCCAAACATTTTGCTGCTTGTGACAGAGGACAAGGTAGCATCCCCTACTGTTCCACATACTGTACAAAATCTGATTGGACGGGCAGTTGAATGTTTCTTCTTTCCCTGCATCTGAAGGGAATAAGCTAACTTAAAGAAGCAGTTCCAATTACCCGACACACAACTCTCTCCATAGCACAGTGTAGAAACATCCTGGGATTTGATACAGAGGGTAAATGACTCATTTTGACCCCTGGTAGGGCTGGCCCTGTGAAGAACACATAATCCCCTTTCATTCTGTCTTGGCGATTATTGGGCAATGGTCTCTAAGCTGAAAGACCATCGCCCCGTAATTGCCTTCCACAGGCAACTGGGTGGTAGGCAGGGTGACAAAGCATGACACATGTGATGTCAATATGCCATGACTTGAATCAGAAATCATACAGTTGTTGTCATTTGGGCACCAGCACCACTAGCTGAGGACACCACTGTGGTCCTCCTCTTTAATTCTACAGAATTGTGTGAAAATGTATGGTCAACAATTCTATGAAGTGAACTTTGCATATGTTTCAGTGGTAAGGAAAAAAATACACACATTCACACCCATACACATATTCTCCACGTAGGAATAGCTAAGATGTTTAAGAAGAAGATCAGCATTCCCTCTTTTTTTGTTTGTATTTTCAGCCTGTGTGTGCCACATAATCCCTTTGAATGTTTCCTTCAAAGAATTAAGATGACCACATATCACTGTTCCCCTTCTAAGAAAGGACAGCTTCTTTCATGGTGAGTTAACTCTTGTGATTTCATGGATATGCCTCTTCAATGTTATGGTTTCTTCTTAAAGACTTGCAACATAAGATATAGTAAACAACAACAAAAAAAGCAAGTGGCCCAAAATTGCTCCATCAGCTTCATAAAGGAGGCTAGATTTGAAGTCTCTTCCTTCAGCAGCCAGTATGTAATTGTAAGTTCCTCAAGCAAAATGACTCTGATGGGTCTTCGGTGTCATTCGTGCCACACTCAATAGAAGCAGTGCTCCAAGGATAGTACAGTAGGGAGCCACTGTACTTCAATTTTCCACAATGCCCCAGAATGCTTGATGCAGAGCACTGTACAAATTCAAGAGGAAACGTTCAAGCCCTGCTGACATTGTGGAATGAGCCAGTATCAATGGATGCCTTTGTTGAAGTCAGTCTTTTATCTAGAATTACTATTTGCTATCCCACATATAAAGCCTTACCTGGATTTCAAATCCAAATGTTTCATTGTCTTCCTTGAAGATTTTAAATGTCTTTCTGTATAAAAAAAAATAATGTAGGAAGAACTTGTTAAGCTATGCCATCTAACATTACTACCAGTAGCGATTATGAACGATTAACTTATGAACGGGCTTTTCTTGTGAAATAATCTTCAACTTTAGTGATAACAAAAGTAATACGGAAACCTCCTACACTGAGGAAATCAAACAGTTCTCCAGCTTTGTGTCGTCCAGCAGTTTTTAAGTAGGACAAAATCCTAAAATACCCAGAGACCACATTGGAGAAGGTGGCTCTAGAATAACGGTGAAATAAATGAAATAAATCATTGACACAAATTAGAGAAAATGCAATGCAAGGCAAGGATCTCCAAGCCGGAACTCAAAAATTGTAAAAAAAAATAGACTTGAGAGATTCTACTGTATTCAAAATGGGCTTCAGTCATGATAAGGAGACAGAAAAGGCAGAGGGGAATGCTAGATCATTTCAACATGTGAAAAAAATTAACAACGGACATAGCTGAGAAATCAAGGTAGAGCAAGGTGGGTAACAGTTTTGCTGTTATCTCACATCTCCTCCGGCTCACAATTCATGTTTATATTTATCTCCCTGGCATAATTTTGGGGATAACTGGCACACAGTTAAAATATGTCTATTCAGCATATTTATTTTCTGCATCAATCCATGTGGGTTACACACTTGGCTTTCTGATTTGGTTGGATAAATCAGATGGTGAAGTTAACAGAACATAAAATGGTGGGTCGCTTCATTGTGCATTTGCTACCAGATCAATCAGCGGTTTGTTTACTGTGGAAATGATATTGCATGCAATATCTTTCAAGATATTTTTTTTAATCTAATATACATACCTACTTAACCTCTCTAATTTTGCCACAATGTGGCATAATAACCATATTGTTACTGGTTTCACAGAGAGATTGCATTTATGAATTATTTAATCTTTTCACCTCTGTACAGCCCACGTATTTCACTGCAGTAATCTCATGCTTACATCTTCACCATTCATTATGTTCCTCTATCTTCCTACACATTTGTTGCTTTACAGGCTGGAAGATAACAAACAAACAAATAAAAGAAAAGAGCAAAGTAATATATTTATTACCTGTGTGGGCCAAAAGTTCTGCCTATGGAACTCGTTCTATTTAAAGCAAGCTGGAAATAGAAATAGAAATAGAAACCAGGAAATTAGTTCATCACATAAACACACAGACATGTCTTTTTTTTCTATCAAATAAAATCACTAGCATGATGAAAATATTACATGCAGCCCAATAGAAATCCTTAATAATGAAATAAACAAGAAAATTGCTTTTCCAAATACTTCATCAGGAGAAGACAGCCATAATAACTGTTAGAAATCTTGTTTTGATTGACCCCAATTTTGTTCATAACCAATTTGTTCAGAGTAGAAAGCCACATACAGATCATAACCACAATAGCTATCTTCCATCTTCATCTACTAGTAGAATAGAATAGAGCTGGAAGGGGATCTTGGAGATTTTCTAGTCAAGCCCCCCGCTTAAACAGGAGAATCTATACCATCTCAGATAAGTGATTGTTTAGCCTCTTCTTAAAAATCTCCAGTGATGGAGTGCCCATGATTTCTGGAGGCAAGCTGTTCCACTGGTTAAGTGTCCTCACTGTCAGGAAGTTTCTCCTTAATTCTAGGTTGCTTCTCTTTTTGTTCAGTTTCCAACCATTGTTTCTTGTCCTTCCCTCTGGTGCTCTGGTGAACAACGTGACCCCCTCTTCCTTGTGGCAGCCCCTCAGATACTGGAATACTGCTATCATGTCACCCCTATTTCTTCTTTTCTTTAGACTAGCCAAACTCAAGTCCTGCAGCCATTCTTCATATGTTTTAGTCTCATCTTAGTTGCTCTTCTCTGAATTTTTTCCAACTCTCAACATCTTTTTTGTGATACGGTGACCAAAATTGGCTGCAGTATTCCAGGTGTGATCTTACTAGGGTTTTATAAAGCGGTACTAATACATCACGTGATCTTGATTCTATGCCTCTGTTTATACAACCCAGGATTGTATTAGCTTTTTTGGCTGCTGCTGCACACTGCTGGCTCATGGTCAAGTGATCATCCACTAGGACTCCAAGGTCCCTCTCACAGTTACTGTTTTTAACCCAGGTCTCATAGAAATATACAGGTATAGTATAGGGGGTATCCTGCTCAATAGTAATAACTGTGAGAGGGATCTTGGAGTCCTAGTGGACAATCACTTAAATATGAGCCAGCAGTGTGCTGCAGCTGCCAAAAAAGCCAACACAGTGCTAGGCTACATTAACAGAGGGATAGAATCAAGATCACGCAAAGTATTAATACCACTTTACAATGCCTTGGTAAGGCCGCACTTGGAATACTGCATCCAGTTTTGGTCACGATGTAAAAAAGATGTTGAGACTCTAGAAAGAGTACAGAGAAGAGCAACAAAGATAATTAGGGAACATATAAGGAAAGGCTGCTGGAATTGGGTATGTCTAGTTTATTGAAGAGAAGGACAAAGGGGGACATGATAGCAGTGTTCCAATATCTCAGGGGCTGCCACAAAGAAGAGGGAGTCAAGCTATTCTCCAAAGCGCCTAAAGGCAGGAGAAACAAGGGATGGAAACTAATCAAGGAGAGAAGCAACCTAGAACTAAGGAGAAACTTCCTGACAGATATAGAACAATTAGCCAGTGGAACAACTTGCCTCCAGAAGCGGTGAATGCTCCAACACTGGAAGTTTTTAAGAAGAGACTGGACAGCCATTTGTCCGAAATGGTATAGGGTTTCCTGCCTGAGCAGGGGGTTGGACTAGATGAGCTCCAAGATCCCTTGCAACTTTATTATTATTGTTGTTGTTGTTACTATTATTATTATTATTATTATTATTTTAGAAATATATTCATCTGACTAGTTATTATGTCTAGTAGCTACTGACAGGTCCATCTTTGGCTGTCAAAAAGCCTCCCTGAATAAGAGATACCTTTCTTCTCAATGTGGGCATCTCATTCAGTTATCATGGACAGCTTCTTCTCCATAAAGTCCTCTAAAGTTCTCATCAGATCTATTAAGTTCTTATCATAGTGATTTCGAATGGGTGAGGGAAATCCTTTATTTTGCCATAAATTTGTTTTTGGTAACATTCACATACCACATGCTAATTTGCCAATTGTTCAAATATATATGCGCCTTTTTAATTCTATTTGATTTTGAATATCCCCTTTTGTGACAATATGCAAATTCCAGTTTATTTATTCTACCTAAACTTTTAGAAGGCAGCCTCTCCTATCTTCCTGAACAAAATGCCATAGATTCCTCATTCAAGAATATCAAGGAATTATGCAAAAAGAACAACAGCAGAAAAGAACAGCAGCAGCAGCAACAACAACCTGAGACTATATTTTTTTTTAGATTTTGATTCTATTATTAGGGCCCATTCTAGTTGTACAGAATTTTTAACTGGAATTTACTAATTCTGATAAATTCGGCGCTACTTAAAAGACTATAGGAGGACTTGGTTCAAGCATCTTTAGTCATACACCTGATGCTCATAAATTGAGAGCATGCTGTGGGCCTTCTTCACTGGAAAAGCAGAAGCCCCAATGAAGCAGGACACTTTATGAGTTGGACCCTTTTATTATTTGTTTGTTTGTTTGTTTAAATATATTGGCCACCCAACTCCAATGATCTCTGGATGGCACATAAACTAGGGAAAATATAAAAATAGTTAAAAGCACTTAATATTGTTGCCTTGAGTTAAATTTAGTCATACGACACTATTTACTGAGCTCTGAACCTAATATTAAAATATATTCTCGGTAGCTCATTTACACATCTCTGTAGTTTTCCTGATAATGATACAACTATAATTTTCTATTGCTTTCTTCAGAGATTCATTTATTTATTTGTTTATTTTTAAAAAGGGATTTCCTGAGATTTTCTATATATGAACTAACTAGCTCTATCCCTATTTAGTTTCTTAGCCCAGGTAATGTGTGCCACCTGCTGTGATAATGAACAATTAATGGGATATAAATGAACATTATGTGCAATGCTCCTTTATGAAACCACCTGTGGAAAAGAAATTTATTTCCAGTTGATGGAACATCACTCCAACACCAAAATTACCAGGATACCCAGTGCTATATAACAAGGTAGAAGGACCAAATCTGGAAAGATGAGGACCAATAATTCTGAGGCTAGACAGAAACATGGAACAAATATCTCCAACCCTCAAGACCATTGACTCAAAAAGATGCTGAGGAAAAGCCCTAGGATTTAAACCTTGGGGAATGACATAGAGACCTTCATTCCTGTGACCCCCTGTATAGAGATCTTCTTGCAAGTGTGCGTGACTTCTTTCTCATCTGTAGTAAGTAGCTTGTTTAGCCGTGTCAAGTCTTTGAGGTTTCCACAGTTAATGGAATCAGAACTGGTTTCTTGAGGGCTTATATCTTGTGTTGCACATTGAGTGAAATCTGCTGCAGAGATGGTAAATATTTTGGTGGTGAAAGGCTGCCCTTAACATTAGGGAGAGCTGTAAAATAGATGGGCTAGCTTGCATATGTAGATGGGGATATATTTGAGAGAGGAGTTTCAGAGGGCTTCTTGTTTTTTTTAATTATGATGTTAATTCTATTATTCTAAGTTGGGGGGAGTTGACAGCTACAAAATAGGACTTGTCTAAGGCAGGGCTTTTCAACAAGTGGTACGGGTACCACCTGTGGTACATTGGCACGTGGCAGGTGGTACACGACCATCCTAGAAAAATGGTAGTGGGGGAGGGGAATGAGAGCGCCGCTGGGCGGGCAGGCAGGTGTCTTGTTCGGCTGTGCCTTGGGGGGCACTTTTTTCAGTGCAATTGTAACTTCCAACAGTCACTAAGCAAACTGTTGTAAGTCGAGGACTACCTGTACTTTATCACTTTTTTCCTTTTTTTTTTTTTGGTCATCAAGTTTTTGACACCTTGCTAGGCGACTGGTGATACTTGGATACTGCCATATCCTAAAAGTGGTACAATGGGTGAAAAGGTTGAAAAGCCCTGGTCTAAGGCAATCACAGAAAGACAGTGGTTTCTCAGGAGTTGTCTTTATATTAACTAACAGCTAAGTTTTTGTTCTCTTTAAAATGATCTCTAAAAATGTGTTGTTTTCTGCCCTTTTTTTCCTCAATGTTTTTCTGGGGCCACTTTGGGCATTTGAGTATAATGACTGATGGTTAGGAAACAAGATGATCTCAGATATTCTCTCAGGTAAAGAAATTATTGTCACACAGATTCAAACTCTGCAGGGGCATCTTCAAGAAGTTAATGATTCCAAAATGGCAGGTGAGACTGGTCAATAAAAGCCCCACCCCTTTTATCTGTATGAAGTGTGTCCCATGCACGTTAAAAAGGAGGTAGAATTTTGATTGGACAATCGCACCCAACATTTTGAGTTTTTAAGCCCCCTCCCTTACACTGTCTCAAGTAATACAATAAATAAATTAACAAAGCCCAAGTGACTAATTAGAGATTGTAGGGATTTTTTTTGTCAAAAACAGAATTAATAATGTGTGGTTATTCAGAAATAACTTCTATTGAGTTCATCTGTGAGAACAAAACTCATCTCCCTAAAATAGAGAGTAAGAGATGCTCCTGGTTTAACTACCACCATATGATCTTCTCAACATATTGTTAAATGCAGCAGAATCCCCATTTGGCACAAATAGACAGTTAAGAAAAAGCAACAGGATTTTATGTCAAAGGTGGCTTGGACTATTGGCCTGATCTTAAGCACAGAACCGTGACCGGCAGTTTTAAAGCGCCTTCTCTATGCTGGCACCCTTCAGTTGTGTCAGGACTGCGATTCCAAGAATTGACTTTAGTCAAGTTGACCCAGGAGGCTAATGTTATGGGAACAAGATGCATCTTTGGATTGCATTAAAATCAGTTGGGATTACAATCCCTTTATCAACACCATTCCACTACCTAGAGACTGCCCAAAGCATTTTCTGTCTGACAAAGAAGAGCAAAGGGCACCCTGCACTCCAGCAACTTTCATAGTGCTGAAATTCCTATGAATTATTTAGGCACGTGAAATAAAAATATATTCCAGAAGAGGGAGGAAAGAAGAAAGGGTTCATAAATACGTACACATGTATATCGATATAAAACCAATTATATGTGTGTGTATATACACCGAGTAACAAGAAAAAAAGGAGAAGACAAAAAAAAATCACCATCTAAATTCCTACTAAATTTCTGTAATTCAAGCAACGCTCCTGGTACAAAACTAGTTTAGCCTTGAGTCTTCTGAGTTGCCAATACCCATCTTCTACATTTGTATTTCTGGTTAGCCAAAAAAAAAAAAAGAAAGAAAGAAATATGTCTTTTATAGTCAACACAAACAATATCCTGCAAAGTTCTGAAGTAAGCAATACCTGTTTGCAGTCCTTGGACAATGTCCCAGTTGGGTCTAGGGACCCTTGTCTTCTCTGGTTGTCCAAAGGTGGAAAGGCGAATGGCTCCAAAGATGGGCTGTAATTTGAGCTGAGACAGTAGCCCACACAGTTGGCATTGCCGCTCTGTTGAATCAGCCTTTTCAAGGACATCTTGCATTCAAGCTGAACTCATTCAGCACTGAAGAGTATTGCACGAGTGAGGAAGCCGGCTAAAAGCATAACCACTCTAGCCCAAAATATACCAAAAAAAAAAAAAAAAAACCATAGGGGAACCCATGTGACTTGTGGTTTAGGTGCAGGTTACATAAATCTGTTTTCTCAGATCCCTCAGTGTTACTCAGGGCATGTAGTGGTTTTTTTTTTTTTTTTTGCTTATGAGACTGAACAATCTGCTTATTCTTCCCCCGCCTCCTTCAGCTATGGCAGATCGAAGGGACTCTTAACATGCTATTTTTCTGCCCCTTGATAATCTGTGTCCAAAACACCATCTGTCAATCTCTCCAGATCTGATGATTTGATTTATTTTATAAATGACTTTATTTTTTTTTATTAAGGAACCCACTATTTGAAACAGCATGGCAGAAATCAGAGAGAGATGAGGAGCAGGGAGGGAGGGAGAGAGAAAAAGAGAGAGATTAAAACTGTTACTTAAAAGTAAAGCAACCATTTTTCAAATATATCAGTAGGGGACTATTACTCATTTTTGAATGAGACAGGGCTCTCCCTCCCTCCCTGACTCTGGCAAGGTAGAGATGAAAAGTTGGAAATTATGTTTTATTTTCAGTGCTCTATACAGACTTTTCCAGGTTGCACCTAGCCACAGCACAAACATGCCCCCAGCAACTTATTTGGTCTACCATCATCCACTCATGATGTTTTCATTTCATGCCCAGTCTACCATATTTGGTTGTCTCAGTATTAAAATAGCATTTCCTCTTATTCCAACTCTGCCCAATGCCACCTTCAAAGTATATTTCATCAAGCTTTGGGCTCTTCCTCCTAGCAAGCTTGTGGTCTCCCCTACTGAATTTAAGCAGTTTAGGATTGTACAGATTTCACTTCTTAAGCTTTGACAGTCATGCCAACTAGTTGTTCTGTCAGGTTTTTGGTAACTAAGACTCCTAATTGGTGAATTCCTCTGTTTCTAAATTCCTCCCACCTATGCTGGGAATACAAGTGCCAATAACTTTCTGTTCCAAGGGTGGGTTTTGACAACATGTGGTTTCCATTGAGAGACCTTTTGCATGAGCCCCCCTCCATTGATTCTCCCCATGTACTCAACGTTATCTGTGTGGTACATCAACTAGTAGACTGTTGGGCAGGGAAAGGAAACACCACCATTTAATAGTTGGGATACTAGGGGAAATTGGCCAAACCCATGTCAATTTCACTCATTCGAGAGCTAGTCTGGTCTAGTGGTTAAGGCATAAGGCTAGAATATGGGAGATCAGGAGTTGTGGTCCTGCCTTAGCCATGAAAGCCAGCTGGGTGACCTTGGGGCAATCACACTCTCTCGGCCCAACTGGTAGGGTTGTTGTTGGGAAAATAAAAAGAGGAAGGTGTGTTAGATATGTTCACTGCCTTGAACTACTTGTAAAAATAATAAAAGCTGGATATATGATTGATAGATAGCTGAATGAATGAATGAATGAATGAATGAATGAATGAATGAATGAATGAATGAATGCATGCAGTAAAACAAAAATAGTCCACTAATTCATCAGCCCACCCTTGGAAATGGGAGGGGAGGAGTCCAGTAATTCACTGGTCCTCTCTGACACTATTGTTGCCTTCCACATTGGAACACTGGTTGTAGGTCCGAATGGAGAACTAGTGCTTCAGAGGACTGCTTATTAGAGATAAAGAAAGAATCCATGATATGCCCAAGAACTGCAGCACAAAGTACAGGAAGTTTCCAGCAGCACATGAAGAGAATGCATGGTAGCAAAACCACATCCCAGGCTCATGTTTGTACAAGTCAGAAAGCCCCACTTTTGAAGTACATCAGATATCAAGGCCTGCCAGGCAGACAGACTCAAGAAATAAGAACCACCTGGGTTTCTGGAAAGATCTTTATTTCTAGGAGAGCTACTTACAAAATCTTGAAAGCCTGCCAAAATCATGTCTGCAGAACCTGGTCACACCTGGTGTAAGAAAACTCTCCTTCTGGAGCTTTCTCCCCCTCCTGTAGACTCAGGGGTCTCTTTTGCCATGTCCCTGTTTTTTTTAACCATGGTCCCAGGACTTGCTGGACATTCTGCAATCCATCATAGCAGGAAAGCATATTAAACATGGTCTTGAGGTCCATATAATTATGAAAGGATTGCCTGCTGGCAGTTAGCAAGTCATGTAGAAAAGGCTTTTGTCATCCATTATCTTGGAAGGAAGTTGGTTGGCTTCAGTGACTTAACAGAAGTAGAGGTGGGATAGTGATTAGCAGTGAGGATTACAAGGCTGGTGCTGTTTTGTCTAGACTCAGGAATGAATGGAAAACATTTTAGTTCAGCTGTGGGCAGGGGGTTCACATTCTAACACTTTTAAAGTATGTTGAAATCCTTATAACAATGCTTCTTCTATTATATTCTTTTCTTTGGGTGTATAGGTCAGTAACATAATAATGGTAACTTGTTCCCTTGTCATCCATTTATCACTCAACATCACTACTATGGGAGCTGTGTTGGCTGCCAGTTGATCCCAGGTGCAATTCAAGATACCGGTTTAATGTAATTTTCTCCCCTCCCCCAGTTCTTCAAAGTATATGGGCAGCTGTTCAACATATGACTCGGGACTGTGCAAAATTAAAAGCAACAAATATCAGTCGACAAAACAAAATATATTAAAACACATTTTGTTGGAAATGATTCAGAACGATCAAACCATGTTCACATAATTCTGCATTGAATAGTCCTCACAGTAGCTTTTCATATGATCTTCAGACTCAGAAACTTGGTCTTCCTAAACGGGGCACCAGATAACAAACCACAGACAAAATTAGTGTCATATTAGCAATATTGGATAAGTGCAAATAGGGAAACCACTCTTTTGTGTGTGCATGGTTTTAATAGGCTAACGTTACAGTTAGATATATGCTTAAGGTAAGGGTTTTTAAATATTATTTTCTGGAATGCGTGTGATTGCAGTAAAGCTATATGAAATATTTATCCATTTGTTTTGTAATGAGATACACATTTTAAAACATATTAAACCATTGCTTTCATTAGAAGTCTTGATGGGTGCTATGAATCATAATAAAGCAATCTTTTAGTAATAGTAGTAAAATTGGAAGGGACCTTGGAGGTCATCTAGTCCAACCCCCTGCTCAGGCAGGAAACCCTACACCATTTCGGACAAATGGCCGTCCAGTCTCTTCTTAAAAACTTCCAGTGTTGGAGCATTTACTGCTTCTGGAGGCAGGCTGTTCCACTGATTAATTGTTCTCACTGTCAGGAAGTTTCTCCTTAGTTCTAGGTTGCTTCTCTCCTTGATTAGTTTCCACCCGTTGCTTCTTGTCCTGCCTTCAGGTGCTTTGGAAAATAGCTTAATTTCCTCTTCTTTATGGCAGCCCCTGAGATATTGGAATACTGCTATCATGTCCCCCCTTGTTTTGCTACTTCCAAATACTTGATGTGGTTGCTGCCCACGTTCAAACCTTTATGTTCTCACATGTGTTTATTTTAACAAGTTAGGGTAAATTTCAAAGGCTCCTTCCAACATGGATTGGGCTAGGAATAACAGTTCTCACTAAGTAATATAAAAATGCATGTTATCACCGGGGTGATGCACGATAGGAAAGAAGTATTAGACGTGTATTTTTTCCCCTTGGGATCTTTAGCTCTACTAAACTGCTGGCTCAGGAATTCTGGGAGTTGAAGTCCACGAGTCATAAAAGAACCAGGGTTGCCTACCCCTGACCCAGGGTTTATATCTCTATTTTTTTTTAAATAATATTTAATTTTTAAAGTGATTTTATGTATTTTATGTTGTTATTTTTACATGTGGTTTTTATCAGTTTTTTTGTGTGCTAGCCAGAGTCGCCTTCGTGAGATAGCGGGCTATATTAAATTGATAAACAAGTCATGTCTACCTTGAATTTCCTCTATTTCAATTTCCTGACTTTCGAAAGGCTGCAGAGAAGCTCAGCACGTCAGAATGGGCAGAAAAGTCCATTAATGGCATCGCTGGAGATTCCTGGAGATTTCTAGGAATACAAATCTGTAGATGTCAATGACTTCCAGCGGTTATCAGCCACAGTCACGTTTTCAAATGGTCAATAATTTCCCCTCGAGCATCAGCAACATGGGATTCCTCGCGAGATCAATTTTGAAGAAGACATTAGCATTTCCCACATGAAATGATGCCTCAATAGCCATCACGGGGAAAGACCCACAAAATATTGAAAAACTCTTCTAGCTTTAATTTCTTCTTTTCTTCTGAATAATTTTTTCATCAGCAGCGGTATTTTCTAAAATGTCCTGTTCCCCAAAATTTCCTGTATCTACCTTTGTGCATGAAAATTGTGCTTCATTTGCTTTCTCATTTCCTGTAGTGCGTATGCTTAGGCTGAATGTGGTTAGACAGCTTTCAAATCGCTCTTCTGACATAACTGCACAAACCATCTTTAGGCAAATGGTTTTTTTTTAGGTCCTACATGATATTTGACAGGTGCTTAGGTTTTCCCACTAAGTTTCAACTATGCACAGATACAGCTTCTCAAAGTTCCACCTTTTCAGAAAATTGTAGGTTGTAGGATAGAGCTGGTCTTGACTAAGATGCCCTCACTTACAGGTAGTCTTCAAGATAAGACCCCAACTGAGCCCAAACCTAATGTTGCTCAGTGAAAATTTTGTTAAGTGAGTTTTGCCCCATTTTAAAACTTTTCCTCCCACGTTTGTTAAGTGAACCACTGAACAGGGATCCAGGAGGCAGCTTACAAGCCTAAGAAGAAGAGGGAAAAGGGGAGTTGCGATGAAAAAGCAAGTCCTGCCTGAATCAATGTACTCTGAGTCCTCCAGGATGTCAAATAGCCTAATATGAATTTTAAAGATCCAGTTTTTGTAAACACTGAAAATTTGCCCAGGAGGCCGGGAGATTCGTTCCTGTGTCTCTCAAATGATCTTTGCTTCTTGGGACTGATTGTATCTAATAACATGGTTGCTAAGTAAATTTGGCTTCCCCATTGACTTTACTTGTCAGAAGGTTACAAAAAGGTGATCCCATG